TCGAATGAAGTAGTAAATGATAATCATTTACAGATTCGTAGGCAATCTATGTTGTTTGCATTTATGAAAAGATACTTCCTAACTTTCGCTTATTGCTATTTTATGCGCATAATTATTATTGATAACTTGACATTCCGAGCCGGCATTTGAATCTGTAATTCAGTTTCTGCTAATGTGAACATGAGACCGTTGGGCTTTGATTTGCTAATTTCATATACAAAGGTATTAATTTTGTAAGCGTAATCATGGATGATGTAATAGCGTTTATAAGTTTTTGCTACCTGATTATTTCACCGTGTGTGTGATATCCAGTTGACCGGAAACACGGATTATCTGCGCATGTTGGATCCTGTTACTGGTAAATTAATGCCTACCGTCTCCTCGTCGTGCCCGGCTAATTTGCTGACGGCTTCAGTCAAAAGTGAACCGTTAACAGAAGATGATATGAAAACTATTAACAAAGACCGCCAGAAGAAAGACAACCACAATATCAGTAAGTAATGATTTACATTTAGTAGTTTCTTCTTTACATTACTACAGTGCATGTTAGATGTTTGGAATCGATTTTAGTATGCTGTTGGATGGAACTTACCAATTAAATGAAGAACAAATATCAATAAAAATTAATTCCTAATTTTGTGTAGTTGAGCGGAAACGAAGGGATAACATTAACAATTTGATCAAGGAGCTCAGGACCATGTTGCCACATTCTAGTGACCCGTAAGTGTATTAATGCGTGCAGTGATCGTGTGGTGATATTTGTCTGCGTGCATGATTCGGTGTGTCCAAACTTATGAGCCAGGCGATGGCTCTCTTTGACAGTGATTTCCCTAGAGCAAGGGTTCCACCCTGAAGGCCACCGTGGATTACCTGAAGGAACTAAAAAAGATCGAGATCGCTTAAAAGTTGTAGAGGAACGCCAAAAAGCATATGAACTGCAGAACCGGAAGTTAGCTATGAAAGTTCAAGTAAGCCAGCCTAACTAGAACGTTGTTAGGTATATTCGTCTGTGCAGTATTGAGACTCTTTTCGCCATCTTTTCGGCTTTTTAAAACTAAATTAATTGTTAATTAGGCGATTCCTTGATTGTTCTTTTATGGGATTGGCTTGCAAATCGTGTAAAGTGTAAACTACCTATTTAGTGTAAAGTGACAGATTTTGAGCAACATCTGTAACAGTAAAGAGATTTGGGCGAGTAAGATACACCCTTCAGATGTAGCTTGTGTAGGACATATTATAGATAATGGAACATCTTCTGGTGTTCACTCAATATACTAGGGTAGTAGCTTGGAGGAATTTATGTGCAAAAAGTCACCGTCGATTTCATGGAAGTCTACCTGTGGAGCAATTTCTTGTTTTCAACCTCTTGGAAATTCGAAATAAGCACCGCACATTGTAGCAAGCTCAGCCGATACACTTAAGGATATCAAATCAAATCATGTAAGCTGCTGCATTAAACAGAGATGTAAGGATTTCCTGATGAGGCATTGTTTCAGAGCTTCTTGACTGATTTAATGAGTTCAAAGTTTCACGATGAGGTGTGCGCACCATTGAAAGGGGAGTTTCCTGTTGAGCGATTTTCCCCAGGAGCACATTAATTTACGAATAAATCGTGGAGAGATGACTGTTTTATCGTTTGGCAAGCATGCATGCCTTCTTTCTGGTTATCGTTTGTCTTGTGCCAGGTTTTGAATTTCTCTCTTCTGACGTCAAAAGTTTGTCACTGTTGCCTTGTTAAACAGTTTTTCCGTTTGTCAGCCGTTTAGTTCGTATAGGGTTACATTCAGTTATAGATAATAGGTTGTTGTTTGATATTTGAATTAGCCTTCAAATTCTCGACCAAGGTGTTTTCCCATGATTATGTTATCCTTTCGCAGTAGGCAGTTTAATAACCTTTTAACAAGAGTGGATACTGTAACCGATTTGCTAAGTTCGAATTCGTTAAGTTACAGTACTTTGTGTATTATAGTGTGTGTCAGTGAAATTAATGTGGGTTGACGTAATTGTAGCATTTATTAAAAAGGCTTGAATATCGCAATGAGGTTTATTTTGAAGGAACTGGAAAGACTGATTGAGGCGCACGGTATTCAGTTACCACTGAACAGCGTGGATATGACTGGTATGGCCAGTTTGGCGCCCCACCTGAGTGCTCTCATTACCGGCAAAGGTTCCCCTCAGCCTGACTCGTACCCCGGTACACCCACTCATCAGCAGCCGCAAGCGACCCCTAATGCTGCAGCACACCATTTTCCGTCCCAAAACCAGTATGTGCAGATTAAGCAGGAGCCCGCCCAATCTCCCATCCCCCAAGTCTTTCCTCAATACATGAGTATGTCGTTGCCGGAGGAGTTTGTGGGAGTTAACTTCAGTGTAACGGAACTAGCCAACATGATGGATACCACGGAAATGGACCCGATGGTCTCGTCACTGACCAATCCTTTCGAGAATTTTAATATGTCAGAAGCACAGCATTTGGATATGGATTTTCTCACGTAAACACGTACCCCGAAGTATTATATCCAAATGGATATATTTATATCGTCGTGATTTGTGAGTGTGCGTATTCTGATTGGTGCTAGTCGATTGGTTGCCGATGGGGGAAAAAGATTCAGGAAATGGGGAATTTAGGTAAAAAAGATTTTACGTTTCTTCTTTGTTTTGATACGCTGGTTGGCATTCCACCCGCTAGTCCGACACTCTCTGTTTTGTTTGGGCATATGTAACGGGAATATTGCTTTAACTTTTTATTCTTTTCATTCACTGGATTGAAGTGTTCTGTGTGTCAAGATTTATAGGCCCCACAAAGAACCCGGTTTCTTGAATTTCGCGGCTGATTTGTGGTTTTGCGTGCTGGGTTTTCTTGTAATTTACAATTGAGCATTTCTTTTTCAGTTTTTTTTTCTTTTAATTTGAACATTATTTGTATTGATTGCTTGTACGATAATGGCTGCATCTGTACGTGGTACAGATTGTCTGTGCGAGGAAGGATTTGTTGATTTTTACTTTGATATACCAGATTGTTGCCAGAGTGTTTTAATTGCGATACATATTCTGAAAGTTTTGTAGAGCTTATATTTTTTCGCGCCGGAAAAATCACTTCTGCCAAAGAGTGTGAATAAATTTTGGCATAAATGTTCCGTGAGCCGTAATCATTGCGCAAGTAGTAGCACAAAAGTATTGAAGTTGGTGAACAGATACCGGGTATATCTCCAGAAGCCTAAGTACCTTAAATTATTCGTAAATTACATTCGGCAATGTACTTTGAAGACATTGTGTGCATAATTGATGTGTAATGTGACGACTAACGAGTCAACTGGATTAAATTTTAATTTTAACGGCCACATCTGCGGAGCGACCATTCATTATCGATCTTGATGGCCGAAATCAGATTTCTCACGCGAGAAATTCGGTAGATTAATTACTACCGAACTGCTTGTACTAGAGTCGCGATCAGATGCCACTTGCTATTTACCTTTTAATAGCTAGCGTGCGTGGTGTCACTATGCGAAGAAGATTAAAAATGGCTGACAAACTGATTTATATGATAAGCCTTAATGACATGTCATGCCCTTACTATTCGAAACACACGAATGCAATGCCACTGCAGTATTAAGGAACCGTAATGCACGGGTGGTTCCCGATTTGATTTTTGGAACCGCATTCACATAAGCAGGATGCGGTTTACGTCATCCGTCGTTATATATCACTGATTGTCCGATTGGTTTTGCCATCGAAATTTCATATGCAAATCTATATCGAGCGATTAACAAAAACAAAATGGATCACCGTGCTTCCGTGAAACTGCACTTAATCTCTGATTGTTTTCGCTGGAATATACACTGGTAAAATGGTTATCTGCTATGTGGAGTATTCGTTTTGTACAAATTACTACTATGTATGTATGAAGTTGCCATATTATCGTTCCAGTTACATCGGAGCTGGATAGGATTTTCGTCACATTGTTGCACTCTTGGGAAAAATTACGGACGAAAAGCATTGATAATAATTGTGACGAATATCCCACACCAGTTTCCGGTGTTCAGCGGAAGTATTGGTGAAAACAGTGTGATTCGGCAACATTCCATTGCCCAGTGTTAAATTGTGGCTGTATACAGAATGCTGCAACTGGTCGCAACGGCTTTGTCATTGTCACTCTGAGGGTACCGAGAAGCACGCAATGTGAAAATGATTCCATTCGGACGCGCCAGAGCGGCAATCCTCTCGTTTTGATATTTAACCACGTGATCAAACTGGCGCAAGGTATGTCGGTAGGATATGTACTTTGAATAAATTAGATATTGCGTGAAAATGATGGCGCTGATCAGCAATAGCTAACCTGTCAGCTGAATGAAGTTGGAAAACGCTAATTACGTCCTCTGGAGTAGGGTGTTATGTTCCGAGCATGTTGCGCAACCACTGCCATGAATGAAAAAATTCTCGATGACGGTTTCTCGGTTTCTGCGGCTTAAATAAATGAATATTGTACACTGTGGTTTTTCTGCGTATTATTAATTTCAAAGACACTTCATGGTGCAGAAAAAAACCTTGTCATCCGAGTCGAAAACCGCGTGCATTGAAATGCATTCTGTCAGCTGAAAATGAAAACATTTTAATTTTTAGATACTAGGACTGAAAATCCGTAGTCTGCTAAAAGATTGCAAGACATACATGGCTGATGCAAAGCACTATATTAAATTAACGACAAGGACAAAAAGAAAAATCGGCTACGGGAAAGGCATAGTAGAATTTGAAAGGGCAGTTTTAAAAAAAGTTCTGATAGCCTGTTTAGGGTCGGCTGCATTTTGAAATTTAAACGCAGGTGAAAAGAATACAAAATTGTAACGGAGATCATCGTAGTCACAACACCATGCCCCGATGATCCCGACGGCACGGGTCCACCCTGTTTAAAAATGGATCCCGTAACGGAAAGCCCGACAGGCGGCCGCTGCTTGCCGGGCTACAGTTACCATCCGGCATTGGTCAGTGCTTGGACATGTAACGAAGTGCAACCGTGGCCTCCACAACTGCCAGCCGGGACAGAAGTGTGAATACCGTCGGCAGTTTCAAATGCGAGGCGCCCTTAACGGACACCGGAAGTGTGCCGCACGGGCAATGTCCACAAGGCTATCAGATGAATACACGTGCTGGACGGTGTGAAGGTGAGACAATCTCGTCTTTGTTGCAGAGACAGTTTCCACCAATCTGCTTGATTTATGCACAGGCAACATAATGATTATAATACATAATTTCGCATAACAGATTTTGCGAGAGCGTCAGCTTATATTGTTTATTGTATTGTATTATTGTATATTGTTTATTGTATTTATGGTTTATTGTGTTTATTGTATTATATTGTTTATTATATTGTATTGTTTATTCTATCAGTATGTAGTACATAACCAGAATACATTTATTTATACCGATGGCATAATCGTACAGGGTTGAGTATTCTTATGCCTGGGTCAGCCGGCTAGCAGTGCCGCTTAAAATCTGTTGAACTAATCTACAAATAATCATCTGTTGGTCGACTGAAACACGACACCTTTCTGTCAGTTTACCCTGTACCATTTTAGTTTTTTGAGTACTACTGCTAATTTATTTTGGTTCTATTTGAAGATATTGATGAATGCGCCATGAATATCGATAACTGCGAAACTGGAATGCGCTGCGAAAACGAACCCGGCACTTTCCGATGTATCCGCGAGGTCAGTTGTGGTACTGGCTACACATTTGACGCTCATCGCCGGGAATGCATAGGTATTAATTCCAAAAACATAAGAACACTATCGACATTTTAAAAGTTTAAACAGAACCTATTTAAAGTTTTTTAAAAGGGAGGGAAGGTGGCCCCGATTAAGCTAATTATGTAAATCAAATTTAGGTAATATTCGTTTTGCACTCACTACGAACTACTGTGCTGCACAGTAGTTCGTAGTGAGTCTGTGCACATACCAAAAATTAATAGAATACAGGTACCGTATCTTGAAAACGAGGTTTTTTAAGGATCGTATTATGGTAGATAACGATGAATGTGTGCTGGGAAATCACAATTGTGGATTGGCCTACGAATGTATCAACACTCAAGGCTCTTTCCGTTGCACACCGAAACGATGTCCAAAGAAAATGCGACTGGATTACGAGCGGGGACAGTGTATTCATGTTGACTGCCCGCCGGGATTTGAGCCGAATGATGAAGGAAACTGTGGCGATGTGAATGAATGCGCTTCCCGTGGCGCTTGCAAAAGGAATCAAGATTGTTTTAACACCGTTGGCTCGTTTATGTGTCGAGATATGGTACGTATACGAGACATACGTATTTTCAAGCCTTGCTACACTTTCCTAGATGATTTTTGTGGCTGGTGTACATGTACAGATTCACAGAAATGTATTTTAACATATATCTTGAAAGAAATCTGATCGTTACATCTATTATATCACATTCGTGTTATTTTATAGCTAAACTGCGGAGGCGGATACCTCATGAACGAGGAGGGAACACGTTGCAATGATGTGGACGAGTGTGCGGATGGTACCCATACATGCGTCGGCGGGCAGCGATGCGAAAATCGCCCGGGAAGCTACTACTGCTCCTGTGTAGAGGGATTCGAATTTGACAATTCAAGAAAAGAATGTGTAGGTAATTACATTTACAGAGCCATTCTTTTATGAATGATTTCAATGGAACTTACGGAATATACACTGTATCTATAGTTGGCGGTGTAATTAGTAATGACGCTGTTATAAGATACCGCCTTGTTCGTGACCTTTTTCGGTAATTGCGCGTCACTTTAGACATTGACGAATGCAAGCGTTACGGCCTTAGTGCATGTGTGCTGAGCGCGGATTGTGAGAACTTTCCGGGATCTTTTCGGTGCATTTGCAAGGATGGATTCCGGCAGACCGCTGATAATAATTGTCAAGGTTGTTATTTAATATGAAAGCACTACTTTTGTCATAACGGATTGATAGAAACGGTAGTACATTGCTGTAATTTAAATAAAAATTAAAAGCTGCTGGTTAAAATTATGCGCGAAGTGCTGTTTGTAATATGACTAATATAATTTTGTCTTGTGTACGGTTCAGATATCGATGAATGTGAGGAGCATAATCCCTGCCAGCAAGGATGCATTAATACCTGGGGCGGCTATAACTGTACCTGTCGAACGGGCTTCAAACTGGGCGCCGATAACCGCAGTTGTGACGGTTAGTGGTGGGAACACAGGGACTTCTCGGTGTCAGAATGCTGGCTTGTAATGTATTTATTCAAATAATCGTTAAAATAACATTCATTTCGATGCAGATATCGACGAATGCAAAGAACAGACAACGCACCAGCTTTGTTTCGGTGACTGCATTAACGTTCCGGGTGGATATAATTGCACCTGCCCGTCCGGTTTCCGTATGTTGCCCGATGGCCGCAATTGTCAGGATATCGACGAATGCAAAGATGAGCAGCAGTGCAGCCGATCGGATCAGATCTGCACCAACCTTGAAGGAAGCTTCCATTGTCACACTGTGCGCTGTCCACCGGGATACATCCAGGATCAGGATCAAAAGAAGTAACTCCCCAAAAATAGCCGACAATCAGAATAGATATCCATATTTATAATTGTACAACACAATTCGATATGTGTAATGTTCGATATGTGTCGTCACAGCGTGCACCTGATCATTACCTTTACATTTAAAATAATTGTAAACCTTATTAATGTTAAAACAGTACGGTTTCTGTATTACGATTTGATTGTTTTTGTAGCCGGTGTAGGAGACGTTCACTAGTGTGTCCGATCGGCGATTCGGCCTGCCTGCACCAGCCAATATCCTTTTCGTATAACTTCATGGCCATTCCCAGCAAGCCCGTTTTCCCGCCAAATGGCCGGATTGATCTCTTTACAATGCGAGGTCCGCAGCAGCCCCACACTAACGTGGAATTCAATTTGGAGTTAAAAAATACCCGCTTGCTCGTTCCTACTTCCAAACCAGCTGATCGACGGTTTTTCGATGTGCGCTCAACCGGTTTTAACCAGGTACAGTTTGGTTGGTAGTCTAATTATCAGCGGATGCAGGTGTTTGACAGGAAATACAGTACTTCGTATTAGTAATTTTATTTCACGTAATAACTCTGGTATTCGAATTTTTATTGCACATAATTTATATTAAGATAGGTATGCCAAATGCACAGTTTAACACATACGCCGCACTCGCTGCCGCAGTTTTGCTGGTGCTGCAAGCGATTTTTCTTGCACTAAACTGGATGAATTTAATAGCGTTACGGACTGGTGCATCTCACCGGTTGCGTTCATAAATTCATAACGTTTAAAATAATTTGGCAGGCATGGATTTTCACAAAGTTGACTTACGCACTCTGCTGTTAATTACGACGCTATGTTACAGGCAACCATATCTCTGGTGAGAGCTTTTGATCCACAAGAAGTGGACCTGGAAATGCAAATGAGCATGACAACAAATGGAGTTTTCAGCGGCAAAGCTGTTGCAAACATCGTGATTATTGTTATGAAAACGCGAAGTTCAGACTTTATTCCTTTGCGGTAAATGTGAAGTTTTACTGGTATATGTAAACAGTATTACGCTGAACTGAACGAATTCGTATAGACGGCCAAGGTAAAAAAACGGCTGTTTTTTATGTTGGACGAATAAAAAGTACTTGGCTCACAATCATTTCACGCTTTAATTTGTTTTTAAACACCAAAACTGGATACAGTACAAGCATTCATAAAAATTTGCAAAATGCATATAAAACAGTCGGGAAAAAACATTCTGAGATCAGCCAAAAAACTGAACGTAATATCACAACCGGTGCAACGCAGTGAACCCAAGCATCATTCTATCTGTGCAGAGCAAACCCATGCTTTGCAAGAGACAAACAAAATTTACCTTAAGCAAACATGTTTACTTTGCTGACTTAGTAGATTTACCAAAAAGTGAGACCATCCATGTAGCAGCATGACGAAAAAAAGCCTCGAATACCGCCAATAATACTCGGTATAGCAGAGCGTTAAGAATGCAGATCCCATAAATAGTCTGCCACCCCGTACAAACAATGCATACGGCAGCAGCGTATTGCACACGCAGGTCTGGAGGAATACAGCCGCACATGTTGAGAATACCGGTCAGCAGCACCAGTATACCCATTACATTCCATTGTGTTTCCGGTTTGTCACTCATCTGGTTCAAAATCCAACGCGACACGATGTGACTGTAGACAACCGTCGTTGACCAGCAAATGTAGGGAAACACAGCGGGATAATCAGGAGACAACAACCAAGAATACTGTAAAGCTGATGTGAGAATAAACGGAATCACTGGTGTGCGGTTCGTGACGATATCCGACAGCGAGACGTCCCCTGCCAGGTGGAAAGTGGTCTGGATAATGTACAACATCAATCCCAGAATCACGGTGGCTAAAATCGTATGCATCCATTCAGGCAGATCGCCTGACAACCAAATAAGCAGTGTCAACCAACGCTGTTTAACGCAAACCGATCTCAAAATATTATTATGAATAAATTGTTCTATGGCCGAAGTTCTAATGCAACAAACTGAACACAACGAAATAAGAATATCATATTTTCATGTCGTATAACATTTTCTAAAGAAAGGTTTTCCAGTAACAATTGTATTAGTTTCAACAAAATTTTACAAAGGATTTCTTTTCTTTCAATTACAGGATACCAACATAGTTTCAAATATTAAATGATAATATGGTGATTTCTGACAATTCGGAATGGATGAATTAGTAGTCAATTGTAGTGGTCAAATGGCCTTTATTTGGGCACGAGTAAGTATTATACAGTATTGTATGTACTTCGTACATTATCGAAGTAACTCCAAAAAATAAACTGATGTGCTCAAGCAAAATTTTTCAGATAACTGAAAAAATTCAGTACTGTACCGGGCACATATCCGCTATAGATCGCTGTCAAAGCTTTTAGGAAGAATCCCACACATAAACCCACGTCCAGACCATCAAACAAAGCGGAGGAGCGAAATATCCCTGTCTTGTAGTTCCGCCACTGGCGACACAAACTGAACCCCAAAATGCACAAGAAAAACAGAAAAGCCATGTGATGGGAAAACAGTCCCGTGTTACCAGCATTCACCCCCGTCAGATGAAAAAGACAGATAATCTTGATAGGAATACTGACGCTATCCATAGCCTGATCAATGTACTCCATCGACAAATACGCCGACTGCGACAGATCCTCGCGGCGGGTCAGTCGTCCAGCAGCATCCACACCGGCGCAGGTCAGTGACACCCAGTGAAAAACTCCACACAGCAACCATATTCCAGCCGGAACAATATGACTGTCAAACGCAGGGTCCCAGAATGTCAGTATAACCACGTTCAGTATAGTGAGACTTAACCCGGAAAAGATCAGGATACCCGGTGGAAAGTTGGGCATTCGTGATGAGATGGCGCGCCAGTATGGGCGCAGAATAAAGTGGCTGATCGGGGATGTGTCGAGCATTTCGTACTTGATATGGAGAAATCCATCCAGCTGTTCTTCGGATGCCGAGGGAAACAACGACGAAGCGTGGTTTTTTAAATGACTGGCCGAACGCGAATGCAACATGGTTTTCGCTAGATGCGGGCTACTGATTGCAAATTAGGACTTCCGTAAAATAGTAACCAAGAGGAAAAGAGAACATCAAAACTTTGGAGTTACTGTAAATGAAATCAGGCTGAAGAAGCGGAGCTTTAAACTTCCAAGACTGCTGCAACAAAAATTTTGCAGATGTGTGCAATGTGCATGCAGTATAAGTTCGAATTTAATGGACCATTACGCTTATCGCTATGCAAACTGTAAATCACGATTAGAAGCGTGAATAATGTAAAGCAACTAGTGCAGTATGAAAACATTCGATATGATGTCGTTTTACGTCATCGGCTACGGTAGATACGCATGTTGGCCAGGTACATATCGTTATTCGTTATAACAATCTCTGCCATCAAAAAGGAAATAAATCATCACGTCATTAGAAAAATCTGACTCTTAGACAAGTTCAGATTGACTACATTCCTTCTGCTACAGCCTACAACACAACAAAAAATATGAGTCGGCACCAAAAAATAATACATGCACCTGTGCTGAAATCGTCAATCTACACAAGGGGTCGTTTGCATTATTGTACGTCTTGCAGTTAACCATCATTCATCCATAACAATCTGATTCCGCAGGCACATCCTATCCAGAATTACAGTAAAATAAAATTTAATGTGTATAAAAACCAAAAAAGCTTATGTATTGCGTCACACGTATCCGATATCATGCATAATCCGAATTGGGGTACGAAGTATGCAATCCAGACTTCTGGTTACTAGTGTGGCTTTTGCTAAGCAGAACTGATTCGTATTTATATTTGTATATTGCTTAGCATTATTCGTAACCCACTTAATTAGTATAATGCTCAGCATTATACTAATTCGTAAATTTAGAATATTGCTAAGCATTATACAAATGCCGTGGGTTAAGAATAATGCTAAGCATTATACGAATTAGCGAATTCGGAATAATGCTAAAAGGCGTACAGAACTGCGAATTCCAAAAATTTTTTACGGGCTTAAATTTAGTCTAAAAACTTACAAATGAACAGTACTACTCGTACTAGCGGTTAGCGTCGAAATTTCATCGGCTTTCTTCCTGTAGGTATTGCGAAACATTTTCCAGCGTTTTGACATGTAAAAAGTTTTGAAGGACACGAAAACCCATTAAAGAGTCGACACTGGTCTTTACGTACAGTTTCTTAAATAGTACCTTAACCTCAATTTAATTACACGAAAAAATTTTCAAGTTAAAAAAATTTTGTATGTCTTTTAGCATTATTCCGAAATTGCTAATTTGTATAATGCTTAGCAATATTCAAATTCTGGCAATTTGTATAATGCTTAGCAGTTATACAAACTGTCAGATCTGGAATAATGCTAAGAATATACAAATTGCATCCAATCGTATAATGCTTAGCATTATTCCAAATTCGTAGCATTATTCGTATACAAAACCACACTACTGGTTACGTAAATTAAAATTAGACAACCTTAAGGCTCGTGTAGACCTGTGGCAAGATTATTTTTTAGACCAAGACAAATTAATGACGACTGTCGCAAACTGTTTCGTTCGCAAAAAAGAGATCCTGGTCTTTTTTTAAAAAAAATTAAAAAGTAATGACGAAAACTATCAACAATATCCAAAAAATCGTAAGTACCTACAATAAAGCCCAATTATTTCCAAAAATGTGGGCCGGAAACATAAACCAAATGGTATGTAAGGCCCGGTGAAACAAGGTTTCAGTGTGATAATAATTTCGGTGTGTCTTGTTAATTTTTCTCTTCAACACAGTCTAATTAATTTTTTTCGTGCCGTTTATTCTACGTAAAAACATTCATATCTGTTTGTAACCGAATGTACTACGCAATGTCGAACCACATAAAAAAAACAGTAAAATACGGCAGCAATGCTTTAATACTTTATACGTATGTCAGTTTATCACAGCTGTGACGCTGTCGAAATCGTGGAACTGTTTTGGTTTTTTACTCGCAAAATCGAACATGCAGTCATGCACTGCTTAACCTCGCATGCTTCCGGCAAAGTTGCATGCGATCGATGTGAGCGCCATCTGCACGTTGCAAACCGTATTTTATTCCGAAAAATCAAACAATGTATTATTTTATAATTTATGGGTTTAACAAGTACAGATACTACGCGTGCTTTAAGTTTTGAAAACGAGTAAGAAAAAGTACTTACCGGTATAGAAAAAGATTTTCTTTAACCTATTGTAACTATAATAAATTACAGATATAAAGTTTTAGCCGCCCATATGGGTGGCTAACACCACTAATACAACTTCTATCGTTTGCAGAATATTAGACAATATAATTAAACAGACATTAGCGGCAACAGTATCCAGCAGTTAACTCTACAAAACTAATCACAGACTGCAAACCGTATTTGAAAGACCGCTCTGTTTATACTTTAAACTTTGTAGATGCCCGTACTGCTACCGCAATTTATCGTAAAATCAGTCCAGTAATTTGCCGTTTGAAACCGTTTAAATCCACTTTAAGTCTATAAGAGTAATTCAGCACATCGCAAAGACGTGCCTGCGATTTTTAAGTAAAATACCTATATATTCTAATCGTTAGCTAAATCTCTTTAAACTTCTTTAACTATAATCTGTTCTTAAAAAACTCTGACTCAGAAATATATGCGCAAATCCGCAAAATTTGAGGTTACAGAAACATTTGTATTATCACTAATATGAACCAAAAGCGTCAACAATGATATGAATGAAATCGAAATTCAATGAATGAATGTACATCGATACGTTCATATCATGAACGCATTCGTGCATATTGCACCGCTAACGTTATCGGTTATCCTTGCATGTTCGGACAGAAAGCGTCATTGTGCAATAGACATCGGCCAAACAGGGACAATCTATTTGGCACTACACATTGTGCAATATGGCCGTTGCCAGCTTGCTGTAACGGTACAATCTAATTTACGCGGCTAGTCTTTATCTCGCAATAGACTAGCATCATGATAATTATGCGGAAAAATTTGTAATTGCTTCCAACCTGGGAAAACCTTAAAGATAGTTCAAATTGTAAAATATCCATGTCTCTGAGCGAAGCAAATACCTATACATTTTCTGTGCATTTCTATACATTAACGGTGTAACATGTGTTCCATAATAACCTGTGAATACAAATTATCTTCTCCGTGTTTTCCCAAATTAACGTTAAATAATACTACAGACTCATGGAGCAAACCATTAATACGCGTGATGTATTAGTCAGTAACATTCAATTCTATTCATACGTACGAAGACACGATTGCATAATTAATTCCGAAAAAGTTTTATATTACAGAGGCTCTCTTCCAATCGACCGCAAATTCTTATATTCGCTCTTTAATGCGATGGTGTTACACCATTATTATTATACTACCACTGATCGCCTGAAAAGGAAAGCAAAGAATTCGAAGATTACGCATTCGTACATGTTAATTGTAAATAATTTAATTACTTCAAGTACAGGTTAATGTTACAATTCATAGGCAGTATATCAAACATGCCGCTTATACTTTCTACTTATCGTTAATTCATATCTATATGCCGATTGCACGCGAGTCATCCGTACATCGCATGTTTACTTCTGCAGCCTTAACTTACCAGTTCGTCTCATTGTCAGATGTTCAAGGGATTACATTAAAATATATTAATTGGGCTGTACAATTCGCAAGTCCAGTTGCATAATAAAAAGCCACACGTAAAACTACCGCTTTTCATCAATCGTCATGACAGAAAGTTGCACAATGCATAACTACATCCTATGCAGATTCACGCCGGGATCATACAAAATAATAAGCCAATTCAGTCCATTATTGATAACGTAATCTCTGACAATTCCCACGCGCATTCATGGACAACCACTCGTAAAAATTGTGAACTGAAGATATTGTATTAATTATTGTATCAATTTCCCAAACAAACTTCGGTTCATTACACGAAATCTTAACAAGCGAATTACTGTAAGATATACGATTGCCGAGCAAGCGTGATTTCGAAGTCAGTGTGCGATATTTTTACGCTATGGGTTGCATTGCAAGTACCCAATGTTGTCTTTTGACTCCTGTTGGAATTGGCAACCTTCTCACATTTTGTGTTCCGCTGATTCATTCCATTCCAGTGCGACTGATATCATTAGCACGCTGATTGGACACTCGAGCGGGTGGAATGCGGTTCCGAATGGCGATTGGTCCAGAAAAATGCACACCCCACCCGCTTCCGCTCACCCGTGCACTGTACGCACTGGTGTTAAAGTGTAATTCCGAAAAAAATCATACCGAAGGATTCAAGGAATTGTTGCTCACGTTAACTAAGCCAATGTGGCAGGCCTATCAAAGCGTTAACGCTGGTGTGCTTCAGGAAACATCGCGCCCGATCGTACATGCGTATTGTATACATTCGTAGTGTTTAAACACTTACGGTTCATCATGTCCACAGCGTATATGGATGCGCTTATCACACGCCTTAAAATAATCCTGCCTTCCGGTTCATATTAAGGACGTGACCTTGAGAGCTAGCGCTAACCGAGCCGCTGCTCCCGTGCTCACGTTTTGGTCGGCTGACTGAACAATAATGTTAGCTCAAGAAGCCAGAATAACATTCTGCTGCGTAGGTTGTGTCACCTGCGTTAAATTACAGTACTTGTACTCGTACTATAGAAAGGGATCCGTTTGTATCTCTTGCAGTAATCAAAGAGCATGACTGAACAATGGTTTCAGGATGATTCCCACGTTCGAAGCTTGCACTCCGCATTGCCCATGAAGCTGAATTTTATCTGTCTTGCAAATCCCAAAGTTGTTGAGCGAGCATTCCAGAATAAGCGATATCTATATTTAAATGAAGTACGGGACTGGAAATACTCCATACTTTTCTTAGATCTATATTTATATAGTACGTACATAATTATGACATATTACATTATGGCTTATTACAAATTACGTACGAGTGTATAAACCAAAAGATTTTAAAGTGTCATTCTGTTTACAGAAATTCATAAAACGTATTTAGATCAACAGTAGTTATCCAGAAAATCCCGCAAAAGCCAATTTGCAATTGATAAGGGACTGTGCGCATGCAATAAATTAAAATAAACAAAACCACGTGCAATGTGCACATTAAGTTTACAGTAATATACAAATATATCGTAAAGGAAATCAAAAACCTGTACAGGCTGACTGCTGACACATAACTACTTTGTACTGCAAATGTTGAACATGGCAGTTGTAATTACTGTACATCGACTACAGCCAGAACCACAGTTGATTGTGGGCTTATTCGACGGTGTGGGTTCAACTTAACGATTCCACCTTGCCAATCGTCCGGATCGCTAACCTTTTCTATACGTTGTTCGCCTCTTGGTCGTTGTCGATATCGATGTCGAAGAAACAGATTTGAAACTGCTTCCGCTAGAACAATTCATTGTGGCTGGAATGGTCTGAAAATAAAAAATTTCAAACATCCGCACTTCATTGTCTACTTAGTGGATAATATACATATAAAAATTAGGAATGTCACTACTAGCACTAAAACAAACATACTAACACAAGGTACATATTGTATTGTACATATTTCCTAACGATTACAGACGAATCAGTTTTGAAATAAGTAATCAGTCCTTCAGCCAGTTCTTATACACTACTCTAAGATAGTTAACGTTGTTCTCCGGTCTTAATTAACGGGAAAACTGGTTTTTTTAAAATTGAGTTAACCGAAAATACAAAAGTAAACGACTTCGCAGCTTAAATCAATCCGAGCGCGAGGAATAATTTCGAATAAGTATTGTGCTTTCGCAGTTTAGGATAAGATTAATAAAGCAATCTTCACCCTGCTAATAGAAAAGCTATTTTCATAATTAAAGGGCGGTACTACGTAGTAGTATTACTGGGCTATGGCGGTACTAACTCCGACATACAGTATTTTCCTTATATCCACATTTAACAGCCACTACGCTAACTGTGCAAATCGATGAACTAAACTTACATAAGCGGATAAGTCTAACTATGTGCTACAACTCACTGAATCAGAAATCCGATCCTTCGCATGAGATGAAAAAGAAACGAAATCAAAGACCACCAAATTTCTTGTTCCGGATTTTCCTAAAATGCAATGGTACATCCGAATTTGAGCAATAGAAGGTACTTAAATCGTATACGCTGAATCGCTATTATTGTGGTTATACAGACTTAGTATATAACTACAGATATTCAACACAGTAATCTTTCACATAATTTACCATTATTTGGATGTAGCATCGTGGTTTCTATTCGTACCGGTGTGTATTTTCCTAAAAATCCCAAAAAAATCCCTGTGAATATGACCAAGCATATACAAATTATTATTAATATTTGTATTATATCACTAAGAAAGATAAACGTCACGCTTTTATTTCGCACAAAACATAGAGTAATAATGATATGTACTCCAGTGCAGCATAACGCAATAATTGTGTTTTGTATACACAAACGTATTAATTAAAGGCAGTCAACTTACTATTGGAATAGCTGAAGGATGCAGGACGAAAAATGTATTTCACCAGATAGAAAAAATGCATTTGGTTTTGTTGGAAACGTAGACACTGTTTCCATTTTCTTGATGCCAAGCCCCACCGTATCCTTTCCAGATTGGAGAGGGTATCGGCAGCGGGTGTGCTTGCACGAAAACTGCAATCCGTCAATGTCTTGTTGGCTGTTTGTAGAATGAAATAGGACAGCGGATTGCAGGAAGTGCTTTCCATCGGCTCTTCCCTACACATTCGATTGCCTGAAAAACCTAGAAGCGCAAGAAACGAAAATTGCCGTTATCCGTTCTGGCACTGAGCGATTAAATAATATCTATACAGTATTACGAAACAGCAAATCATTATTAAAAACAATTTCCATGGCAAGCTAAACAAAAATAAATTTAGAAAAACATAAATTTACAAAAATTAAACAAAAATTTACAAAAATTAAGATAGTTCTGTTCTTTAAAATATTACCGACGCATTTCCGGGTAACCGTCATACAAGAGAACGCGCATTTTCTACAAAATTTTTTAATTCGAAGCGAATCTTTACGCACATTAAACCATATTAAGCAATACAGAAACCGTTTTTTTCTTGCAAGAGGGGCGCACTTCGGAGGAAGGAAGTACGTAACCGTACTCTATCGTAAATACTACTGGATATAATTACTACGAGTAGGGTAGTACCTATAAACAAATACGATAAGTACTTTTCATATGCACTACATGCACATTACTACAATTGTCATAGTGTCCAAATACCGTAGAAAGCGAGGTACGTATCTGCCAGATCCGAATTAACTTGTAAGCATAATAAATATTAGCACAATAAATACTTACAATAATATTATTGGTGCAATTAATTCAGAAATTATAGAGAGTGAGATAAAAAAAAGAAAATATCGCGACGCAGGTACAAACAAGTAAACAATTACTGATTGACACCTTAATTGTACACGATTTCACCACTTACCAAACATACGAAAGGCCTTCTTTTTGATAAGATCGAATACAAATGAATCGCGATTCCCTTGAAAATCCATTTCAACCAACCCACGGGAATTTACCGTATCCAGCGTGGTTTTCGTCCAGTAAGTCAGATTATCATCCACATGTGTAGCATGCAGTTCCATTTCTATCATTTCATTTTCCAGATTCGGAAATACGTTGCTAAAGGAGACTTTGGCCGGACTCAAACAATCTTCAAAATCCGCAAAACTTACATCCGCCACATTTAAGTGGTGCTGACCATCTTTGTTGGTGCGGCTAGTAACACGGACACCGATTGCGTGAGTGCGGTGGACACATGTAATAATTGAGGCAAGTAAAACAGTATTCCACAATGCGAGATCGCCACAGGATAATCTGTTCATTCTATTCATCAAAATCCAGCCGCGGCTCATGAAAATAAGCAACTAAAAAACTTAATACAACGATTCTTTCCAACAGATTTAATACTCGTACGATATCATTGTGCTTTGTTGAACGAATGACCAATCCATTACTTTGTCTAAAGTCACTTGCCACATAAAATTGTTCACTTTAATGCTTTACTAAACAAGTGTATAATTAGCTAGCTCGGTTTCGTTACGATCGGAACTTGGTAACCTTCCATGTGACTGTCTACTAAGCTATGGATGCAGATCATGTAAAAATCATAATTGCGTTGTTTTGTTTTTTGGTTCCGTCACGCTAAATACGGTACAACCATGCAGCATTGTGATCACAACCAGAAGAGCCACGCGCTGCCTCGTGGACACGAACGAGGTTATTGATGTTTTTGGTAAAGATGCGGTGCATCATCGCATTCGCTTATCAGTCAATTAGTGTAAGCGTACTTTTGTAGTAAACGCCTTAGGAAAAACTGGTAACCGAAACCGAAACCAACAACAACAGAATTCAATGTCAGCGAACCTGGGAGGAAAATTTCGCTGGTCACATGAGGTGAATATTAATTTAGTACCATACGCATGTGCGCCACCCTAGAAACATGTCTGTACTGTACTCTAGTCTGCGACGCAATAATATGGTACGTGAACCAAAAATTTAATATTAAAATAAACAGAATATTATCATAAAAAAACAAGATTTATTACAGGTAGTTGTATAAAAACAATTTAACCGCATATTATTATTTACGCGTAAAGTCAGCTTCGTAAAATACAAATAAGTATAATTTATAAAAATATTCATTATTACCCAAATTATCACAAGACCATGTTAACACTTATTAGCCACACCTTACAGAACACTGATTCACACAATTTTTTAAAATTTTAATTGCTTGAGCACTACTTTATTCCTTCGACCGCTCACTGCACTTGCGAAACTGCCAAGCCAACAGAGACGGCAATGATCAACGGACAAGTAAAACGTATTCATTAATATTCGAGTCTGCTGTCCTAAATTACAAATTAAGACGCTAGAAAAATAAGCCCAGGAACTCAACACAGTGGCACAGTATGCAAAGCATAGAGCATATCTAAATCAACATTAATCAAAATTGATCAGCGTGCTGCCTTCGAACCTGGATATATTCTCTTTCCTGTAAACCTCGACGTCCTCTTCGTCTTCGTCATCGGCCACGAAACTCATGGTGGGTGTTACCGTTTTTGGCCGTTTTGGTTTGTCAGGAAATACCAGTTCCGGAATCCACGCAGACATAAGCAAAGCGCATATCACAAGAAAAGCGCCGAAAACAAAAGGGGGACCCGGTATTATACTCTGCAAACAGAGAAACTTTTACTGGCGGACTTCCGGAATGTTTTGCTATTGTAACATGAAAAAACTTAATGCAAAACCATATTTTTTTTAAAGAGTCAGCAAAACTGTAACTACAGAGTTCAATATTCCTTAAGCCAACGTAAGTAATTACGCATATTCTATTTTATCGTGCATGTTTTAGTGGCCGTACTTGTTTGCTGGACACTGACGGTGTGGCAGTGGCATTGCCAATTTTCATTTTGTGCAGACTGGCCGGATTACTTTCACCGAATTTCTTTTCGTTCATATCCATATGAAAGAGCGAGAATATCAACCCATAAACAGCCGGACCGAGACCATTACACAAACCCCGGATCCCAGTTATAACACCCTGAACCAAACCTGCAAGAAGCAAACCTATTGACCGCAACTCCCAATAAATTAAATTCACCATAATCACACATGCTACGGGTGTGTCGTAACAGTGTTTACACAAAAAAAGGGACAGGAAGACCACATTAAGAGCTATCAGCAATACCTTGCTTATCAGTTTCCGTATAATTCGATACATATGCACTGATGGCTGGATAAGTAATACTGCAAACAGCGGCAAGGGATCCAGCCCCCCACATCATCCTACAATTCACAACAAACATTTATCACTAGTAGAAAATTTTATCAACAAGAAGCAATCTCTTACCATGTCTGCTGTGCGAAGCCGTACCAAGCAAGCTGCAGCGCTTCAAAAATTAGGCCGACTGCAATAGTGCTTTTACTACCCAAAGTTTTCATCAAATGAGTTAATAACACAGTCTGAAAACCAAAAACAAAATTATAGATTCGTCATGTCAGTGAGTTGCGAGAAAAAGTTTTACTTACTTGAGCGACTACGGACAATATTCCCACAAAAGCGATGAAGGCGGCAACCATTTCCATGGAAAATCCCACAACCTGACAACATTTCAGTCCAGCAACCATCGTATCGTAAAGATATCCGACGGCAAGACTTACCAACCGCAAGTACACAAATATACACGAAACTTGACCAGCTTCAGGCAAATACGACAAGAAAGTCGTTAGGCTCACAATAAGGATCACTCGGTCGTGCCCAAGTTTCTTCAGATTCTGAAAAAAGAGGATATTTATGAACTCAGCCATTCAAGAAACACTAAAATAACGCCCGGGACACCTTTATGTTCGAAAAAAGGACCACGAATGCTGAGCTAATTATTAAGAGCATGCAAATCCACATTCAGAACCTCGTAACAACAAAATTTCACACAAACCACTACAAAAATCCACAAAAATAACAAACTTAAAAGCTTAATTACAGGCTGTAAGTTATTTTAATTTTAATAGTAGCAGCAATACAGCAGCTGTACTGTAATTCAGTTTTTTATTTGAGCACATACTGAACACGGATCGGCACTCTCCCACGAAAAGTTCGATGAATTAGCAAATCTGGCTTTCTCTGGAAGCGATTCGGGGACGAACGATAAAATAAAAAGCACATCCAGTAGTGCAATGGCTGTGGCCAATGCCACCACCACTTCCTCGCCGTAAATATCACTGAGAAAAGCACCCAGTGCGGGACTGGTCACAAGACTGGCTGCAAATGTAGCCGAAACCTGTAAGAAAGGAAATCCACTTTCAAGTTGTGATCCGGTTTGTCCCTCATAATAAACAAGTACAGGCAAAAAAACGCACCAGACCGTACGCTTGACTTCTTTCACTTTCGTCAGTGATATCCGCAACGTAAGCGAAAACTACAGAAAACGTGACAGCGAACACTCCGCTGATTGAGATCAGTCCAAAGTACCATCTGCAACAGAAACATCAAATTAAAACTGAAATTAATATACTCAGAAAAGAAAACTAACAAATCTCCATAACTTAATTACATAGAATTTAACTAACCGATATCATGTTCGACATGCTCACTTCTCAAAAAGCTACGGTAACTGAAAACAGTAAATAGAATTCGCACTGTGCATTTACCATTTATGAACACTTTATGGTCATGCCAACCGAAACGAATATCGGGAAGACATCAAGATTTTTGCCAGTTAAACATAAATCGGGCAAATGATTCCCAGATTTAGCTAGCCATCGTTTTGTGGAACTCAAGTTCCCGGACCACTTACCCAGGACTAACAATCATAAACGGTATGGGAAGGCAAGTAAAGAAGACGGTGATTAGCAAAAAGGTTTTTCTGCCCCACGAATCCGAAAGAGCGCCGATTAAAGGAGCACTCAAAAAAGACAACAAACCCTACAAACGAAAGTAAAACAAAATTCAACTTTATTCAGATCACGAATAATGTTCCAGTGCTTTGAGCTCACCTTGATACCAACAATAATTCCATTCATTAAAAACGTATCCTCTGGAAAAGTTTTATTAAGTACCTGAAATATAAAACTTCATTAAAAGAACTTTATCATAGTAATTCTTAATCAGCGCCAATGCCCAGTATCTTTACCGCAGATGCATATTTGCTGTCATTAACATCATATCGGAAATTAAGTGTATTATTTTACAAATTAAAGTTGCACAGTGATTCAACTACCACAGCAAGTGACTGCAAGTCACTCAAGTTCGTATGCCTTTCAACCATAACAATGTTAATCAAGCTTTTTAAGTTGTCTAGTAAGTTTTTAGCCATTAATTTACTTATAAATGTACTCACGGAAATCATGGGGGTCGTAAGAAGTCCCCATGCGAAGAATTCCAGGAATATGACAACCAAGGCATGGTAGACACTGGGCTCCCCGAAAATGTACGATGATCCCTGGAAACCACGAAAAAACGTTACCTACACTTCTAATCGCAGAATTACGCTTAAAATCTAGGAAAAGGGATTGCTGGCACGTAATGATTCAAAGACAACAGGCTAAACAGACAGATCCATTGACGGGATACAAAAAATGCGCAGCTGTACTCTTACATGTCTGGTGTCCTTCAGGAGATTCCTCTGGTTTTTCATCAAGCGCGCCAAGAGTTTTTTAGCTTTTTTCATCAGCGGATTGCTCGTGCCTCGAGAAGAGGCCGAGCTAGATGAATCTAATCGCTGGATTTCAAAATTGGATGAGGCCCGATTCAATATCACATGGGAGGGGACAGAATTCTTCAAAGACATGCTGCACACAATTTATGCATGGACGCCTAACTGGAGCAACAACAAGCAAGAACTACGTAAGTAACAAGCATCTTGTCCGTGAGACAAGCGATAAAATTCTTCCGACTGTGATTGTGACATACACAGAACGATATGAAGGTGAAGCAAAAATTAATTACTACAGATGATACAGTAGCTAATTAAGACTAGTTAATAGCTAACTGAATGCGACGATGGAAGGCATGGCACGAAGACACTATTCAGATTCGTTATTCGTACATAAAAAAACTATTAATATTTGGAACAGCAACATGTGCAATTCTGAAATTTAATTCGTTTCCGGGAAGTGAAAAATGGTGAACGAGGATTTTACGGCATGCGCTGTTGATAATGCATAGTAACGACCGTACGAATAAGGTCCGAGCAGGTCAGTAAGCACCTGTAACCGTGTAACGCAAGCGTTTTGAGCCGGAAAAGCTGTTTTCATTTTTCTCAAGCCTTTTACGTCTGTGTTAACATTTTTCTGACTGCATCGTACCGCGAACGCATCATACTGCTAAAATTAAAATTAAACCATCTTTTCTTTTGGCAAAACTGCCTGAATATAATAAATTGCTGAGCATGTAAACGCAGCCATTTTCGGAACAAGAGCCAAGTGTTCTGCATAAAGTCGCATAAAGCCATCGCAAAGGGCAGCTGTTTTATGTTTCAAAAGAGCACACTAATTTGTAATTTATTTACTGTAATCAAGACGTACGTTTATTTTGTGTTGAACTTGAAGCGAATTTGTTGTTGTACGGAATATATTTCTTGACCTGCTGTACGTTTATATTAAATAAACTTGTATCCCCGGTACGTTACAGTACTGTACGTCTGTGTTTGCATGCATCCGATTTTTTTCTGTTTTCTTTGAATGTTTTCTTCTATCCCAAAAAAAAATTCCAGTGGTGTATGACTGCATGGCGCATCCTATACAGTCGATGCCCTTCTTTTGAGGGATTGGTTAACTGTGTATAAGGGGAACAACAGAAGTGTTCATTATAGAAAACAAAGTCGTATTTACAGAAATTTAATTATTAACAGAAGTTTCAAGTGTGTACTATTATTGTTATTATTTTTATATATCACTGAACAGTAGGCAGTAGCCAACTCCTTTCAGTGGAGATATCTTAGCAGGCTATAGGAAAATTTTTTTGGTTAGTTTAGAAAATTTTATACTTTTTTGGTTTATTATAGATCATTCATATATAGACGGTCAAGTTTCAACGTACGCTAAAAGGTTATGAATTTTCGCGGTTTTGCAGTGTGCTCTGTTTGTTAAAAGCGCCATCTGCGTGAATGTGATAATATGCGATCCAGCAAAAAGCGGGCAAACGGATAGCACTAGTCACCGTTCACTTTGTCCTGTTGTAATATTGTACGTACTCGGTACTCTAAATTCGTTTGTCTTCGAAGACTAACACAGTTCGTCTAAATTTTGTTGAATCCTACGCATTTTGATTCTATTCTCAAAACTCTTTTACAGATTTGTTATACGGTCACTTGTACCTTGGTTAATTTATTAACTGAACCAGTATTGCGACCCTACGAACCCGCCAAGATGCCTGTCAACGCCAACATTGGTTTCGAAGCTAAGATGGATCACGCCAGCCTGCTGAAGAAGATCATTGAAGCCATCAAGGATCTGCTGGGTGAATGCACATGGGATTGCACGAATACGGGCATGAGCCTCCAGTCCATGGATAGCTCCCACGTGGCGTTGGTGAATGTTATGCTGAAATGCGAGGGCTTCGAGCGGTACAAATGCGACAGGAACTTGAACATGGGCATCAATCTGAGCTCCATGGCCAAGGTTCTCCGCTGCGCTGGACCGGACGACAGTGTGGCCATCAAGACCGATGGGGATAGCAGCAGCGCCAGCTTCATCTTTGAGAGCCCGGACGGGGTACGCACCTGGTGATTAAACTATGGGGAACATTTTACTGTTTATGGGAGAGTTTGCTAAACTTAATTGGACTGGGTTCTTGGGCTGGCATGAACAGACGAAAAACGAGTGAAAAATGCGTGATTATTGTTTTTCAGGATCGTTCTGCGGAATTCGAGCTTAAACTGATGAACATAGATGTGGAACATTTGGGCATTCCGGTAAGTTACAGTAATTCGTTGAAATAGTCAATAACAGCGGCTAGGGAAAAATTTCACTAGCCAACATCCTGTCTGATAAAAAGACCATCCCTGATAACCTGCTATTAGTGAACGCTTGTGACGTTTATTTATAAATTACTTCGAAGTTCGAACGCTTCAGAACTCTTTAAAGAACTGCAGTAAACCTTATTAAACTTTTTTGTATTTAGGACACAGCGTACGACTGCATCATCAAGATGCCATCGCAGGAGTTTCGCCGCGTCTGCGCAGATTTGAGCCAATTTGGTGACAGCGTTACCATATCGTGTGCGAAGGCCGATGTGCGTTTTGAGGCCCAGGGAGATATCGGAACAGGTAACTATTGTAATGATAATATCCACTGCACGTTGAAAATTTGGTTATTCTCTAAACTCTAAAGTCTAATATCTTCAATTAATACTTAGTTTTTCAGCTTTGTCACTTTGACTACCGCTAAGCTGGTTAAAACATCGTTAAAGGAAATGCTGCAGCTGTTTTTGGCACACTGAATAGAATGTCTAAGAATTCGAACGACGCCAACGATTACGGTTATTTTTTTACTGTTTAAATTTGATCACCTTAAGTAGTTTAAATCCGCGCAGGCGTATTTGTATGGATACTGGCTGTTGCCGAATAAAACTTTTATTACGATGTTTTTGACATAAGATGATAAGCTGGCCTGTTTTTGGTTTTATCATGTTCCTTCTCTAGTCATACGTACTCCATTTTTTCGTCGTTTTTTCTTCTTCAGATTGGGGCTCCTTTTTTTCTACCCATTCTTTAAAATTATGAAGTGAATATTGAAAAGAACGTATCTTGGGTTGCGTTACATTAATTTCTGTCCGCGTAATCTTCTTGACTTGACGCAAAAACATAAATTGATTTAAAGTTAGCTGTATTTACAAATTTGTACCGTTCTTAAAAGTTTTCTGTTCCCAGTAATTTTCAGTTCTCGTCCTTTCTTGTTCCCAATAGTTTTCGTTTCTTTCATCCGGTTTTTGTTGTTTTCTGAAATTTATGAAATCGCTGTTTTGCAGGGCATATTCGTCTGGGAGCAAAGAGTGGTACAGTGGAAAAACCGGAGGATGAGATCTCCATTGAACTGGAAAACCCAGTCACGCTGACTTTCGCTCTGAAATATCTCAACAATTTTGCTAAGGCTACGCCGCTGTCTCCGACGGTGCGTTTGTGTATGTCCAACAATCATCCTTTGTGCATTGAGTATCCGATGGTGGAGGTCGGCCACATCCGCTACTACCTGGCTCCCAAAATTGAAGAAGAGACCGAGTAGGTCCGACTTGCCTAGAATTTCTGGCGTGATTTTCTTCTCTGGCCTATTTTATGTGGATAAAGTTCCTGCCTGTCTTTGCAGTTGTGTTTGGCTATTTGCGCCTAGGCTTTGTAATATATGCTGACAAAATTTCGACGTCGGAATGCGGGTCTTGACTTATGCGCTGTTGCATTCTTATAGTAATTGAATGATTTGTATCCGCCCATGTCTTCTTCCGTTTTAAATCGCTCAAATTTGCAACTGTTGTGCTACGTGCTTTAAAGTCTCGCCATGTCTAGCGAATGCTCCCTTGACTGAACAAACGATTTCTTAATTTTTTCCATTATTACTTTATGTTCCACAAAAAACTTTGAACTTAACAAACTGATGTCATCCCATAAAAAACGGTTTGACTTTTGAGTATTCCTGCTCCAACACAGTGATTATAATAAACTGATACCAGACATCAATGATTTTTTATAAACGTTACCATTACGTGCACGGTACACTTACACCATGAAAATAAAAAATGGCATTTTAAACATTTGAAGTTAACCAGCTGCTCTGAAGGTTGCGCAAGGATACATGTATTACTGAATATGAGCGATTCCGAATGTCTGCCAGCGGTCTTTAGGCCCAAGTTGGGGCATTGCTGCCAGCTCCGTATGGACCAGTTGTGGGCTGTTTTCCGCACGTCGTGTTGGTTCCCACGTTGTTCACTGCTTCGCGGAATGGTCCATCGAAGGTTTTCGTATTGCCGCCATAAGCGACCCGAATGCCAGAAAAGCAGCGTCCGAACGAATCGAAGACAGGGTAGAAGACCTCCCGGAAAACTGTGCCCCAGATCTACAACATAAACATTAGTTACATTACCAAATAAAAGCTACAGCACTTTCTTTATGCTAAGCCGAATACTTACACGTCCAATCCAGAAGAAAACAATGGAGAACAATTTGAAGAATGGTGTGCAGAAATAGTTGTTGATGGCAATAACCAACGCGAACAACAGACCTGAAAAATATCGTAAAAGGTCACGAAAAACCCACTCCACGTTACCAAAACGCAACACCACACGATCTGAGTCTGATTTACCAATGATAAAATTTCTGGATCGCTATTCAATGACAAAATTTCTGGATCGCTATTTATTTTACACACTGGACTGCACGTTCAAATGTTCACATTTACGCACCCCAAACGAATGCCAGCGGTAGCGCGAAAATAGCCACAAGCAGCCGGTACATCCAGAGCTTGGTCCAGTGGAACATGACGAATGTTCCACGCCATACTGGCTCGAAGCCGTGCGTCCCATCCGGCTCAGCGAGAACATCATCGAACATAATCTGGAAAACCCATATAGTTAATAAAGTCACTTAATGCTTTGCAATTATTATCAACGAAACCCCGACCGACGATTTTTAACAATTAGCAATCGATCGACCAGATTACCAAACCGAATCGGTAACAGTTAACCAAAATAAACTGTAAGACCGTTTCAATGGACCAGCGATCAGTCAAGCGAAGACCGTGAATGAAATTTTGTCAGGTGGCAGAAGACGATAAAGGTCATGTGTAACTTGTGTGGTTTCAAAGTTTTCACGAATTTGTGTATTAAGATAACGTCTTCATGGTGGGCAAATCGCTTCAGGATTTTTCATGTTTTCGAGATAAATATACTTTGGCGACATATCAGTCTAGTCTATTCAGAATTTTGAAAGTTACCCGATACATGTTACATTAATAAGATTAATGTGCATTATGTGCAATACATCGATACGCATTGCACATACAGATGGATATGTACAATACATATCCATCTGTTTATATGCTGGATTAGTATCGTCTGAATTTAGAAACGTACGCCAGATGTTGCACTAATGGATTCATGTGCATGGTCAGTTTAGAACATTCAGCCCCAAAAGATCACAACCAAATAGAATAATATTACAAAATGTAGTAATTTATGTGCTTATGTTTACGCTGGTCTTGGAGTCTTGGACAGTTGACTATCGGAATAAATCTGCTGACAAGGCCAGGTTACCACTTAAGCACATTGATTCACAACCCTCGGGTACAAATAAAATCTAATGTCATTGGCCGTTTTACGAATTCTTGTTTGTTAAAATTTTGCTAGAAATTTTCCGGTTTGGAAAATGCAAGAACCCCAAATAAATAAACATACACAATTGGTAACAAATTTTTTATGCCCCTAAAAGTTACAGTTGTAACGTGTGACGTTCTTGTCTCCACTATTTTGCTGCCTAATGCCTGCATATGGTATGAAATATACAAAGCATTGGGTTAAAAATTTTTCAGACAAACATTTCACGAAATATTATTATGCAGCCGTAAATTTAAAAGGGTTTTCACTAAGCGATTCTTTGCAGTTTCTACTTATCTTTTGTTGTTGAAGTAATGGGAAAAGCGGTGTACCGCATTACAAGTGCGAGCATATAGTCACGCCGACTCACGCTTATATGCATGCCAATGTCGATTATGAGAAAGCCACGTTTATTACAGCTAATAGCAGTACTCACATGGACTTGGCCATTAATATTCTTTTCATCCCGATCCAGCACATTCAGGCCGATGGTCAGCGGTGTATGCTGTGCCGCATGCTTGCCGGTCTTGTTCTTGGTTTTACCGGTTCTGATGTCGGTGGTGGTTTCGGTGGTCGTAACCTGGAGCGTTTCCCCTTGTGCTCCGTCAGCAGTGGTCAGCGGTGTTTCGGCATCATGCAGCTCAATATGTTCAATGTGCTCCACGGTTTTCGGATCCTTTTCATAGAATTCCTTCGTCTCGGCGTGGATGTAGCTGGGATGGCGCTGAGTGGGCTCTAATAGTGGCTGATCAGCTTTACTGTCCATTGTTGCGCTGCAAATTATCGCAATTTCAGTGATTTTTACATACGAATACTATCAAATATTGCGTGTAGGCCTATACTGAGAAGATCCACGAGTGTCGAGATATTCAAATCTATTAATTCTTATTCTTTATATTTTCTGGTTTGCTGCACTAAAACGATTTTACGAAAAATAAACCGCTATAAAGCAGCACAATTCTTGAACAAAAGCCTTGAATTACCGGCAAAATTACACCGCTTTGATCGTTTAGAATTTTATAGTGTCACAAAATGGCGGCGGCGTCATGATGCGTAAAGATCATTTGGAGCGTTCTAAGATGTCAGCTACCTTCCCAAATCAGATAATCATTGAATTATACCATAGAAAACATCAATTTGACATTAATATCACTCGATTAAGTTAAGCACTAACAACATTGACTGAGCTAAGTTTCGATAGTATTCTTTAAAAAATTTTATATACAAGATATACACTCAATCTTGCAGTGAAAATAGTTTCGTTCTAATGTTAAAGTTCTGCCTACCTTGTACAAGGTTAATTCGGACGCGCTGACCCGAAGAGGAACGGTATAGTTGCGATGGATAGCTGGATTTAAAACGAATCAAAAAGATGTAGCTTGCTGCTTGCCGAAATAAAAATTTTCTGGTCAGCGAATGCTCATCCACATAATAATCACGGGTATATTTGACAGCTCTATTTGGCTGGCTTCCCTTTCTCTTCCACAAGCCCAAAGTTCATAAACCAACCACACGGAATACGAAGCTGAGAGACGGGCGCAAATGATACATCCCCTCAATTTAGCCCAAGCGTCTCAGTGTGGACAACTGGGCATACTGACAGTGTGCTGTGGTCAGTCTTGTGTGGCAGACAGAGTAGGACATAATAACAGACGCATTCTTTCACATCTAATCGAAATTATGCTGGCCAGAAATTGCGGCGTTCCATCTAAAGATTGAAGCCAATAGATTCCAGTCTGATTGGGGGACAAAATCGCACTTTGGATAAAAATTTGATAGGTTTTAATGAATTCTTGCACGTACTTTATATGTTCTATAATGCTTGAACTTGACCATTGCGATAGCGGATTAACCAACGCGCAGATGCGAGTTCGCAATAAAACAAGATTGCCAATACAAAATATCACAAAAATGATAATAGTCATCATGCGCTAGAAGTACGTACTTAATTTTATCAAATGGGAACAAAAACTGCAGGCGCGTGCTCGTGTAATGGCTGTATTTATTCTAGTCACGCCGCCATTCTCCTAAAAATGTAATAAAATGAATTAAAAATGTATTAAAATGTACAGATAGTCAGATAGATAGAGTACAATATTTCTACACGATTACGGGTATTAAGACAAATATGTTCCACTGTAGTTCCTTGCGTGGAGAAGATGAAATGGAATGGTCAAGGTCGACATTTAAAAAGACTCAGCTTGCAGTATTCCTGTCTACACTTCAATTAAACGTGCACATGTTCATTGTACAATGACGTGGTCATAAGAAGGAACATACTTATTTTCCAATTATGCAAAAACCCCAGGACATAAAAAATGCAAATTCAACACGACGAAAGAATGAAGTGCTTGTTTGCAATGGCATTAGCTAGGCGAAGCCGACAGGTAAATTGTATCCGATGCGCGAGAGTTCCAAGTGATTGGAAAATATCTGTATTGATTATTATGAGCTTGCGTGACCGCAGTAAGGCATCGTATCGTGTGCGTTTAACTATAAGATGCCTCTTGGTACGCAAAACCAAATATATTCCAGGCTCTGTTGTGACCGGTTGTTTTGCAATATATTCCTATGCGATATTCCATGGTATACGATAATTGTGCTACTTTGTTTGCTAACCGCACACGCAAAAATATTCCTAGTGTGTGTACATAATAGTACAGGATAAATTCACAAAATGATCGTTCGACATTTGAACCACAGGCAACGCGCCAGGCCGGCAAATGCTCGGTATGTTTCCCTTTAGATCCATACTATCGACTAGCTCTTAGTTTTTTGGTTAGCTCTTTTTACAGAAAACAGAGAAGAAATATATTGCAGGCACCCAGATGATGATGGAACCATGAATGTGCCCTCGCATTGACTTCGTACGTCAGTACATTTCGAAAAGGTACAAGACCGTAGAGAACAATTTCGGTACTTGATTTCGATAAGTAAGTAATTGGTAAAACGGCTGCTACAGCGTTTAGTGCGATTAACATTTTTGTTTTAAATTTAAAAACTGAATTAATTATATTATTTAATTTTTACAATTAGTTGAAACTATATGCAATGTAATAATTAAACAGAATGAAAACGCTTTTTGTATGTCGCTACACATGGACTGGAATGGTGCAGTAGTTTGAAATTCTGCGATTTCCCTGGAAATGTTCAAGTTTTTCGGATTGAACGCTGTATCATTAATTAGCTCAGCCAGTGTCAAAACTATCATACATCGGTTTAAACTTGTTGCAGTATCGGTTGTTTAACTGCTAATAATTACAGAACGGTCTGGATACAAATTCCGGCAATGTGCTTATTGCCCCAATGGAACTTACACTCACAGAAAGATGCAAAATTAAGGCGGGCTATTTTCGTTTCGGCTGTGTTGTTGTACTGCGGTAACCACATTGCCGGGAAAAATGCCACATCACTGAACATCGTCTTATTAACGGTTATCAATAATGGATCTACAACGGAATTCGGGTTCAGGTCTTCCGCGGCGGTTATGGATTATGGAGTGGATGCTCTCCAAACCACATACGGCGAATTCGGGAACTTTTCACACGCTATTTCCATACCCGGTGGCGAGACACCTGGAACATCATGTTCCAATTTGGAGGCGCGAGGTCCCTTTTTTGCATCGAAATTCTTTTACGAGCAAGGAGGAAAAGGCTCCACGTTGGTGTTTCTTGGACCAGGTAGAAAAATTTTGTTATCATTACCAAAATTTTGAGGCATTATGTGTTTTTAAGCAAAAACAGTAGGAAAACGTTAATGTACTTCCGTATTCACCTTTGAGGATTTCGATTCGGACCGGAAATGGTCAAACCCAAGTGCCGTAAAGTATGGCAGTGCATAACAACTGCGTCAGGGTAGCTCCTACAGCCTTATTGCCTGTGAATTGTGAATAACTGTCTTCTTGTTCATTGTGCACATTAATTTTTAACGGCCAAGATAGTCTGTATAGTTGGTGGTTTGTACCTGTATCCCCCATATAGATAAAAAAACGAGCCGCTTACGAGGTGCAACGCCGACAATATTGTTTGGACTGTAATTAGCTACTCGTAGTAGTCGCTTACGTTCTTTGCCCAGCAGTATATGGGTTTGTTAACGACAGAATCAATTTCATATAAATAAGCATGCAAGCATTTGTAAATCTGTGGTAAAATTCCAACAGTTGTAACCAGGACTTATTAGTACTATCTTTTTAGGTTGTGGAGGAGCCGTTGCCAGTTTGGGTCATTTAGCAAGAGGTATCTGCTACTAGCTAGCTTACTGCACGCTTCAGTGTAGTACTCGTACATGTGCGGATGAGGAAACGAAACTTTTTGTACAGTAGATGTTTCAAACTAACAGACTTTAATTATATTGCTGATTGCAGCCTGGAACGTGCCTTTTTTTACAAAGTAAGTTGGATTACAGAGTAATCGAGTTGAATTTATTCATGTTCCACCTCACGATTTGTTTTCGATGGAAATAACAGTTTGGGAATAGACACCGCTCTTGGACTTCAAGACAAAAAACGATTCCCGACACTGATCCGACTTTCGCCATACCAGAACCACCAAGCTGTTGATTTGATGTTGGTTATCCTGAAATATTTTCACTGGACAAATGTCAGTTGTCTATGTGATGATTCTCTGGAAAGTGGCGTCTTCCCATCTTACTACATTAGTTGCCGGTATATGTTTGATACATTGCGCCTAAAAAACGTGAATGCCTGGCGGACGGCATTCAACCCACAGGCTAACTTCAGCGCGGCCGATCTGGATGATAAACTCAAGGAAATCCAACGCAACAGTCGAGGTGAGAAACTAATTCGTTCCCTTACTTAGCAAATTATCACAACATCAGAAAATGTTCTAGCGTGGTCCGCCATGATTGCACAGTTCTCCTGAATGGCTGATTGCTGTAATTACTAATTCGTGTATTCGCTCCGAGCAACGAAACGCTTTCCTCTTCACAAACGTTTTATAGCAAGTTTCATTCACAGTTGTGTTAACGTTTCGTAGGTAATGTGTACATACATATTAACTAGGTCATATCCAGAGTACAAACAGGTATAAACTTTAATATTACTAAACCAAACTTTACTACTTAAGTTTTAAGACAAAGTCTGCGCTGCACAGATCTATGGAATACGATCGATCGTACAGCAATAACATACGAGTAATTCTATGAAAATAATTTCATGTTCCTGCCAGCTTGTTGACACCGATACCGGTAAAACCCACACCGTCAGGCGATGCAGCAAAAAAGAAAAGAAAAATCGCATTCACATAATTATCCCAATTAAGTAGACAGTTACTTAAAAAACATTTGAGAACTGCAGTAATGTATTCTACAAATGCTATCGTGAGCCTATGGCAAATCACTCGCAAGATTACACATCTGCAGCAAAGGTAAACAGTGTTAGCTGATATGTATGGACAAGTAAAGTCTGTTTCCTGCTGGTATCCTGTTTTAAAAACTGCTGCTGTTGATCAGCAAACAATACGATATCCAGCAGGTGAGGAGGCCCAGAACTAGCCGGGCATATTTAAAGGGAGCGCGTTGTCAGAAAATGCATTTCAAGTGCCACAAAAAGACTTATGCAGTGAACGTGCTTCGGAAGCTTCGTGCAACAATATCTACAAGCTGGTAATTCCTGTATGCTAAAAGTGTGGCTAGCTGGCTTTACAGCTATGCCACATATGCAAAGAATGGCTAAGGCATATGCAACTGTGATATTTGTGTTCGTGACCTTTGCATATATTTCTCCCTTTGCAAACGGTTTTGACGTGGCTATTGTGGAATTTGTGTTGGTGGGAAATCGAACTACCACTAGCGATGCATTTTCGGGGGCAATCTTTGAGTTTGGTGTAAGAGAAATCTCTTCAAAGTATGGGAATGCTATGAATTTTTCTAAAGTGCGCATTTCGGATCCTAACGTGACAACCTGTGAGATGATGGACCAAAAAGCCACATTTTGGGCTACTCGGTATTTCTACAGGCAAGCTGTGGGCAATCCAGTAATGGGTTTATTTGGACCAGGTACGAATGAAAAGATTAAGCGCTGAAAAGAAGCGGAGGTCATTTCAAAATTTTTGGGAACTAATATATATTGTATTTAAAGTATTAATTAAACTAGAAAATTTGGCTTAAAAAAGTAAGAGTCACAGCAGCAGATTGTTAATCGTGCGGATGAAGGTTACTGCTTATGTTACAGTCTCAGACGATTTGTAAATTGCTTAGGATGTCCGACCGCTGCCGCATCTGTGGGTCATTTGGCTCGAGGTACAGAATATCGGTCATTGTACATACTTACATATAAGAAAGGTCATCTGGCATGTGTCAAACCTGTTTTGCTTGTAGCATGGAATAAGCAGATGCTTATAGCGTAAGTTCGTTCAATTTTTATATATTTTTTTCTGAATATTTGAAGTTGACCTGAAGGGTATTTTGTGCTGTTTTCAAAACGAACTGTTCCATGGTTTAATGTTCTGCTGTTTTGTTATTTAGAGTAGCTGGTGACGCTGCAGTTTCTGCCAGTAAGGGTACCCACTCATTGCTGTGTTTTTTGTACCGTTTGGTAAAAAAACTAATGTTCCACAGAAACACGTTACCCAACATTAACGAGATTATCGCCGTATATACAAGAGGATCTGACAAAATTTGTTGTGGAAATCTTAAAGGCTTTCAAATTTACGACTGTCGGAGTGCTGTGTGATGACGCAAATGACGCACAGCTGTATATTTACGTACCGATGTGTACGGGAATTTTCGATGATCTGCGGCTGAGACACAACATCAGCGCTAACCGATACTACGTTAACGGCAGCGATCTCGCTAGTACCAACCGCTACTTAGAGGAAGTTCGCTCACAAGCCCGAGGTAAACTTTAATTGCTTTTAGACAAACTGTGGAATGGGTCTAGCTATAAGACAATTCCTCTCTGAAAATACTGTGGATATAATCGTGTAATTGTGGATGTAATCGTGTACTGAAAATATGTGTAATCGATCAGTAATAAAAGGATAACTTACCGCACAGGACTCTGTTATCCTGTGGGGAATCGGCATACTGCATACCGATTTCGCACAGGATAACACAGAGGTACTCTTTAAAGCTGTACTTCCCACTCCCAGTGTACCGTATTTTTCCAGCGCGGTTCTTGTGGTATCGGTTTAAATTCTCACGGTAGCATTTGTTGGGATAAGGTTTAGGCTAGCTGCTTATAGTGAGCAACCGTAGCTTAAAATTTGATATGTACAGTTTGTGTAATAAGGGTTGTAAGGAATACGAGTATTGATTTTTATCGGCATACCTTACATCTGATCATGGTCATGCCCTTTTAAGTATTAGCCCTTTTAAGCAATGGGTAATTTGTATACTGCGATCGGCGCGTTCACGGATACCGTTATTACCAATATTCCGATGGCCAACATCAACGGTTTCGAGTTGCACCTGAACCTGGCTTGTGAGGCCGACATCGCATACGTACATACGTATATTACATCCGTATACGATATAGTCGGAAGCGGAAACAGGGCGTAAACAATTTTCCCAACAAGGTGCCGTGGCAGGTACTGGTGCGCGAATGCTGTGTTCATTTCCAGAAACAACACCCTTAGCGTTGGAAAAATCAATTCTCAGCTCCAACTCAGAGCGCATTGCCAAGTTGGTGTGCTAGGTCGCCGCTTGCTGCCTGCATACGAGCAGTCAATAGATAATCAAGCACCTGCACAAATATGATGCTGAATCTTCATGATCGCTACAGCTGCTGCTGAGAATCTTAAGCTTACAGCCGAAGACCCAGCCTTCTATCAAATCGGTTAAGTAGTTCCATTCAAAATGGAACCAACGCAAAGGTCATCTGTCGTTCTTCTTTCCGTTTTGCTTGTAATCAGCTACGCAGCAGCCACAGTGGACGTGGCCCTGGTAGAATTCATTCTATGGGGAAATAAGACAACAACGAGTTTAAGCATTGCCGGTGCGTTGCTTGATAAAGGAGAGGAAGAGATGCGACGGTACAGTTCGGTTATCAACGTAACCAAGGTGCCGATATATGATAAAAATGTGACCACTTGCGACATGATGGATCAGAAGGCAACTTTCTGGGCTACTCGCTATTATTATCGGGAAGCCCAAGGAAATCCAGTTATGGGAATGTTTGGTCCAGGTAATGTACAACATAGTTATTTTCGAACATTTATTTTTTGATAAGTTGTTTTTTGCAGGGTGTCCAACAGCAGCAGCATCTGTTGGCCATTTAGCTAGAGGTAAGCCAAAAAGTAAACAAATATATAGTAATTTATGCATCGCAAATGTATTACAACCCGACGTTATACAGAAAAAGGCTCAAACTTGACAGTTTAGGGATGACAATATTTTTAATTATTTTTAACATACTTTTTACACTTTTAATTTATTTTTTTACATTTGCATTTTTTCGTGCAATTGTTTTTTTATGACTTATAATTTTACAGAGATGCTTTCCCGATTTTTTCCCGTTCTATTTGTTGAAAACAGAAAATTGAAGTAAGCCGATTTATACAAGTGACCGGAAGTAACGAAATGGATATCTAGTCGATTACAAATCTCACATTTTTTCGTTATAGCACATCGCATAGGCAACGAAAAATTTGGCATACTGAACGCATACATAAATTTAAGAACAGTTTCAAAGGAGTTCACCTACTGTCTATTCGCATAATTTATGACTAAATGATTTAATCCGTTTCTCTAATTTAAAGTAATTTCCTAATTTAAAGAAGTATAAAGGTGATTAGGTTGTTGAATTGCGGGTGCTCTTCAGTAAATTAGACAACCGCGGCGTAATCTCATGAGCCGCATCTGTCATTAGCAGACTGGTATGCAAATATAACACTTAAAATTCGTATGCTGTGCTTAAGAAACGGGAAAATTTTGGATCCTGTGCAATATTATTGGAAAGCAGAAAAAGCACAAAGTTTTTCTGAACTAATGAGCGTGTTCTTTTGCAGCGTGGAATAAACAAATGCTAATCACGTAAGTTTAAGCTGGCTTATGGTATTGCTGTATTACAGCCAAGTGTATCACAATTGTGCAACCAACTTTAACTGCATCAATCCTTCTAGGATTGCCGGAGATACAGCGGTTTCAAACAAAAAGCGTTACCCTACGCTGACAAGGCTTTCTCCCTACATTCAGGAAGATCTCAACCAGTTCTTTTACAAATTATTGAATACCTATGGCTATAGCACTGTGGGAATTTTATGCGACGATGCCAACGATATTTTAGCTATTTATGTGCCGATGTGCACGGCATTATTCGATACACTTCGTCTGACGTATAACGTTAGTGCCAGTCGTTTCTATGTGAACGCCAGTGATAAGGACAACGTAAAACACTATCTGGAAGAGATTAGATCCATTGCCAGAGGTTTGTAAACCAAACTGCAGGTCTCAGCTACAATGGTTACTGTATAAAAAAGGCATGCAGATCTAGAAGAGATCCGCGAACACGCGCTCGACGATTATATGAACATGCGAATTATAGCACATTTAATTGTTAGATATATAGATATGTATTGTATTGTATTATTCTTTCAGTGCTCAGAAGGTTCTTTCAGTACTGAGAAGGTGCTCAGTGCTTTTAATGCTCAGTAGTTTGTCCATAGCCAGTCTTAAAAAAATTGTAACTGAGAAACAAGAAACAAAATAGTTTCCGATATAATGTAAGTTAAAAAGTATTTCTTTGTCCTGATGTTATAATTCTAAATTATAATGTTTTTAGTGGTCATCATCATTGCGTATGGCAATCGCATTCGGCCGATCATGGTAAACTGAATTTAGCTATTGCCAGCAGAATACTGAGACTTTTATATTGTTTGATTACGCCCGATCCGAAGGCATGATTTCGTGCGATCGTGCAGCGAGCAGAAACGGATACAGATTTCGAGCACCCAGCGGATCGCTTGGCGATTGACCAGAACTGATTAATTCAAAATGGCAATAACATTATTCAGACATCATGCGCGACAACGTTTTTGGTATCAAAAACCTTCCCAAATGTTTCTTAATCTTTTGAAGCTTTGGTTGGTATCTCTCATGAACCAGATACTGCTATAACAGGAGATTTCATCCAAAACCAGATCCTGGTAATACGGGATCTGGTTCTGGATAAAGTTTGCGAACCATGCGTCAAAAGATGAAGAAATATTTGGGAAGATTTTTGATACCAAAAACGTTGTCGTGCGTGATGGCTGAATAAAGTTATTGCCATTTTGAATTAATCAGTTCTGGTCAATCGCCAAGCGATCCGCTGGGTGCTCGAAATCTGTATCCGTTTCTGCTCGCTGCACGATCGCGCGAAATCATGCCTTCGGATCGGGACGTATTATCTTAATCTTAATATGCGATACTCAAAGTAATTTTTTGATTTTTAGCTGGCGGCTTTTGATAAACAAATGACGGATGGTGAATATGTAAGTACAAAAACGAAAATCTACCTTCGTGAGTCCGATGACCTTTACAACCAAATTTTATTCTTTTGTGGCAAAGTTAAGTCTTGCTAATTGAGAGTTCTGCAGTTCAGAAACCAGTTTAATTTTTATAGTAGCCCCGCTTTTAAACTTACGTATTACAGGTATATTTTGCATTTGAACTGTATCCAAGCGCGACCTTTTTCGGCAATATATCCTGGAATACCGGGGATACCGATAAACGCGATGTGGTAAGCGTTAGTCAAGCAAACTGAAAAGCAATGCAGTCTCCCTATTTGACAAAAACTGTCGAATACTTTCTATGTTTGGAATTATAATCCGGAATGGCTAGCGTTGGCTTACTATTTAGTATCAAATACCGTAATGTTGTAAGCTGCGATGCGATGTTTTCAAGTGTGTGACCTTGTTGTGTTGATCAGGACGCTAGAACAGCATATCGTTCCTTGTTCATAATATCGCTACGCAGCGCGGATTCACCAGAATACCTCAATTTCACCAATGAAGTGAAACGGCTATCCAAAGAAAGATATGACTATACATATGCCCCGGGAGAGGAAGTAAGCGGGATAGTGGCAGGCTGTTGTAGCCTGAACAATAATTATATCACACGGTGCTGTCTATTATTGATAATTAAATTCATCATGCCACCCGCGTACTGCCTTTGAGCATGCTTTTTCTTTAATTTGAAAGGTTAACCCATTCGCCGTGTCGTACTATTACGCGCTCGCCATTTACGGACAGGTAATACAGTGAGACCCGCAATTTGCAATCCAATGCTGTGTTTTTATCATCGGTTCCTGTTGCCGCGTCGGTTCTCTCGTGATTAGGACAGATCCCGCAGCGCAGCAGCAAGAAGGATCGATATATTGCCTATTGATTTCTCCTTTCATTCCATTCTCGACCTTACATAAATATGGCTTACAGGTGCTAAACCAAACTATAGCAGCCGGCGGAAATCCCAATGACGGCGCCAGTTTGACCAAGTTGATGTGGAATCGAACATTCACCATTCTAGGCAAAGATATCGTCATCAACAGTAATGGCGACCGAGATTCGGACTGGGCGCTGAATCAAATGGATTCAAACGGCATTTTTAGGGTAGAGAGTGACCTTAACAATAAATATTTAAACAGACTTAAAAAATAATAAAAAAATAAAAATTTATTGTTTTGTTTAATGGCATTACATGTACACATGCGTATGCAGACGTCTGTTTTCCCTTACAATTAGTTTGAGGCGCGAGAAAAGCACATCGAACATAAATAAAATTTTAATACTATCGATTTTCATCTTTCGACTGTTTCATTTTTAGCCGGTTATGGAGTACTCTGCGAGTCGCAAAGTGTTGCAAAGTAGTCGTGATGCTGATGGCAGCATCCGCCCAATTATCTGGTATAACCGCGATTCCCCACCTCCGAACGAACCTAAATGCGGCTACCGCGGCATCAAACAGGAGTGCGAGATTGGTAATTACTGAGATTCGCTTATAGCCAATAGTTATCAGAAAATGTTGCTACTTCGATTACAACTAATTTTCTTTTCAGAACAACGCCGGATTTTAGCCATTGCCCTAAGTTCCGTTGTAGGCTTGGTATTTATTTGCGCCATAGCGACCTTATTGATTTACCGGTACTTAATACTTACTAAGCAGAAGTTTCTTACTAGCTTTTTATTTGATTAAAATGCTTAAATGGTACCGTATTATTACAGCAAAATTAAACTGGAGTCAGCTCTGAGCGATCCCTGGTGGCGAGTTGAAAAGGAGGAACTAAATCAGGCATCCATGAAAGTTTCCAGCCAGTCTCTCAGCAAGCTGAGTTTGGTACGAGGCATATTGCAGACATTCATGAAACTCGTGCGGTCACTTGGAGGCCTGTATTTTGCATCGAAATCTAATTGTTTAGAAAACGGCTGACAACACATCCCATGCCAGTTCTGTGGGAAAAACTCAGGTGTTTGCTAAGATTGCTTCATATAAAGGAAAAACGGTAGCAGTAAAGAAAATGGAAACCACACGTCGGTTCCATCCTTCTCGAAACGAACTGAAAGAAATCAAAAAGGTAGATCAATAATCCGAAGCCGAATTATCAGTTTTTGATAATATTTCTTGTTTTACAGCTGCGCGACATGGTTCATGAAAATATTAATCGTTTCGTTGGTATCTGCATCGAAGATAACCAAGTGCAAATCCTGACCGAATACTGTACCAAAGGAAGTTTATCCGATGTGATGGAAAATGATGCTCTGAAGCTGGACTGGCCGTTCCGATTTTCCTTGACCAATGATGTTATCTCTGTGCGTGTTTATAAAAAATTATTAAGAAGACCTGGTTTCGCTAATGCGTGCATTATAAAAAGAGCGAGCCAGAATTTTTCCTCTGGACCGCAAAATTTAATTTGGATCGAACAATAGCGTAATGCTAGCGCATAACCTTTTCCATGAATACAGGGCATGACATATCTGCACGACAGCCCTATCGAATCCCATGGAAATTTAACCAGCTCTAACTGCGTTATCGACAGTCGATTCGTCCTGAAAATTACCGATTATGGATTGGCTTTCCTGCAGCCGTTTGTTAGTAACAAGGAGGGAGATAACAAATCCGATTACTTCAGACTTTTGTGGCGCGCACCGGAACATCTTCGCGCCCCGATGCCACCTAAAGGAACTAAAGCCGGTACGGCGTTGGCATAATAACCACAGGCGCAGGCAATTATTAAAGTATAAAATTTATGTAATTAGATATATTCACGTTTGATGCGCGGTTCAGTCGAAAACTGAATTAATTACATCATATGTATTTTTTAATAACATGAAATTTAATAGTCATTGCAGTTTTGGCAGCATAGTCCGTGCGTCAGTCTAGGCTCGAATTATTGCTATTGGCTGACCGTCATATTTACCTCAATAAGCCTAGCCTACAGATTATTACTTCCATTCCAAGTTATTATTATTCCATTACCTCCGGTTTGTATTTCTGCTGGATACCGGCTAATTTTGGGGTCTAATTTCATTTTGCAGGCGATGTTTACAGCTTCGGTATCATAGTGCAAGAAATCATCCTGCGTTGCGAACCCTTCGGATCACCGGATGTGAAACGTTTACCTATGGATCCGTATGGTAAGCAATATTTCATTACAAGCTGTTATAACAAGCAGGATGGAGTGCACTTGAGGCGTGCGCTTGTAAAACCTACAATGACATGTCGGTAAAAATTGCACTGCGTTATGGTCGCGATCGATACTCAATATTGCGATCGCAGCATTGATGTCCGCCTGTTAGATAGATGATAATCCTGGGAAGAGAGGCAGACTACTGTTTTGCATCCGTTATTAATATTCAATAAAGGGCATGTGATATAAAAACAGCCGCCCGGTTTTTTCATGTTATTGACGATATTGCTGCGTTAAACCGAACCCAGCGTAGTGAGCACACACAGAGGTATCAGCTTATACGGCTAAACATATATAGCATGCTAATTACGTTGCAGCCATCATTACCGAAGTCATAAAGGGCACCAATCCCCCGCTGCGTCCGCATGTTCCGAAAGACGCTTGCCCACCCGAGCTCTATGCTATTATGGAGCACTCGTGGAGCGAAGAGCCCGAAAAGCGACCGACATTTAAAGAGATTCGCTCGCAGTTCAAAAAGATTCCAGGCGTAGAAACGGGCAATCTGATGGATAACTTATTAAAACGCATGGAAACCTACGCAACCGATCTAGAAGCACTGGTTATGGAAAGAACGGAGGCTTTCCTCGAAGAAAAGCGAAAATCTGAGGAGCTTCTTTATCAAGTGTTACCTAAGTACGGCTGATACGATTAAGGCACTTGAAAGAAATTGTATCATAAAGGAAATTCTAAACATGCTTTACTTTACATAATTATCGAAATTTATGTTGTTTCACACGGAATATTACATCGTCAGGTCTGTGGCGGAGAGACTCAAGCAAGGCAAATCGGTCGAACCAGAAGCCTTCGAGAAAGTCTCTATATACTTCAGGTAAAGTCAAACGTAAAATTATAACAGTTCACAGTATCTGGCATGCAATGTGGTGGGTTGTTCACTGGGGTTATGGATATGCTCATACCAGTTTAGCTTGTATACCCATCACGTAAAATCTTTTGATAGCTCGTAAAAGGTCACCAGTCATGTACAGAAAGACAGTATATAGCGCTTATTAGCCTACATTACTTTTACGATCAGTTGTTCAGCGATTAATTAAGAAAGCTCTGCAGAAAAAATGTAACTTACGTTGTTTGCTATAAACTGCGTAATGCATATGGACATGCTGATTCTTGTTCTGGATTGCAGCGATATCGTTGGCTTCACCACTCTCAGTGCATCCAGTACACCCATGCAAGTGGTCGACCTTCTGAATGACCTTTACAGTAAGTTTGGGTAGTTTGACAAGGTTCCAGTTTGCAATCAAAATTATCTTACAAAAATATCAAAATCAAAATCTATCTATTAACTTTATCAAAATTATTTTACAGCACTTTTCGATAGTATTCTGGATGCATTCGATGTGTATAAGGTGGGTACTTTACATACTAAATTCAGTACAAACTATTTATGCAACTTAACCCTTTGTTCAACGACAGGTGGAAACCATCGGTGATGCCTACATGGTAAATTATTTGCTCTTTTTGCGTTAATTTTGATAAATTTTTTAATTTATTGCAACGCGAATTATAAGTTATAATGTAGGTCGTGAGCGGTCTGCCCATTCGCAACGGAAACCTCCATGCTCGCGAAATCGCTCGCATGTCGCTGAAACTCTTGGACGGAATTATGCGCTTCAAGATCCGCCATCGACCCAATGAGCAGCTTCGACTACGCATGGGTCTACATGCGGGTCCTGTAGTTGCCGGTGTCGTCGGATTAAAGATGCCTCGATACTGCCTGTAAGCTCTCGACGAGATTTAATAACGAAATTAAAGGATATCCTTAATAAGTGTTGCAAGTAATTTCATTTAACTGGTAGGTTTGGAGACACGGTCAATACGGCGAACAAAATGGAAAGTCACGGAGAAGGCGCGTTTGATAAAATTTACAGCCTTATACTGATAGATGCAATGTGCTAAATGGGTATTCAATTTATTAACAGCCTTAAAGATTCACGTCAGTCCTGATCTGAAAACCATCCTGGACGATTTCCCGACATTTGATTTGACACTACGTGGAGAAGTGGAGATCAAAGTATGTGACCGCATACAACAAACAAAAACAACGTTTAACCACGATTATTATTGAGTGTATTTGCAAGTTGTAAAGATGTCACACAGTTCATATATGTTGTCACAAACTGCGCGCTTAAAGGCGCATTCAAAATTATGTTATTCATGTTGTCGTAAAACAGGAGATTTCAAGTGATCAGCAACTTAAAGCCGCACATGAACAGTATATATATCGTAGCGCATAATAATTTTCTGATTATGTGCATATTGTTTCCAGGGAAAAGGATTGATGACCACTTGGTAGGATCAAGAGTTGATAGAATTTATAGGACACACATCATTCTTAGCTAGCGCTTCTTCTTGACAGGTGGCTAAACGGGGAACGCGTGCCGGAAGGAGAAGCTGCTGCGCCAACCGCAACACAAGAGGTCACGGCTGATGTTCCAACTGCACCAGCGGAAAATCAATAAAAGCAAAGGGTATGTGTAAGGAAAGTGATGTGTGTGTGGTTTCTTAACTTATTAATTTTACCAACAAGGGAGTAGGCGATATGGATAGAGGCGGCATTAATATTTTGCATCTACAAGTGTATTTTGAAGCCAAATCGTAGTAGTTTTAATTTGCATTTCATGCAGTCTTTTGCCGGAATTATTGGGGTACCCCAGTACCGGTAATTCCGAAATACAGAAACAATTTGGGCTGATTTTGGTTAGCCTGTGTACAAGGAAAAAAAGTTATTGTTAAAACTTTTACAGTATCGGCGTGTACTGCTACAGTAATCTGCAATTGCATTTCGCCTTTTTTAGATCAAGCTCTCTCAAGTTCTCATCCTCCAAATTCATCAAAATTACATGAAAACGGCGATCTCGATTGGTATTATGCACATATTGGTCTCAAGCAGACGTTCATGTACAACGCACGAAGTTGCACCTCCTGCATCGCATTACCTCAATGCTTTCCTGCACTGCGAATTTCAGAAATGCGCACTAACCGCATTAACCAGGAGCACTTCAATCAAAAAGTCTTTATTTCAAAATCCCTTTATCTTACAGAAGAATTTTAACCGTCCAACCCAATTTTCACAGCAGACTTGAACATGTTATTGCGTACTGTGTCATGAGAAAATCAAGCTACAAAAATCGAAAACCATTTGTATCACCTGCTTATTTCTATAATGTACAAGAATGCTGTAAGTTCTTGCTGCGCAGATGTCTTATAAACATCACAACTTAAAGGAGAAAAAAATTGAAAAAATAGTACATCTAATCCATAAAAACCAGTTTACCAAGCCGTTAATTAGCCTGTCGCATGGATCGCGCATAGAAATCTCGGTCATCAAAGAAGTCTTTATAATTCTTCTCCTCTTCAACCTTAGTGCTTGTCGAACAGCGACCGCACGAACATTCTTCATCGTCTTCAGATTCTGAGTAGTCCTTCGATGAGTTAACTCTGCCAGGGTGCAAACGAGTTCGGCTGGCATGCACCAGCTTCAATGCCTTGGTTACCAAAGGACTGTCCGGGCCGTATGCGATTTCCAGTGCTCGTCGGGCTTCTTGTGCGGAAAGGTCGAATCGCTCTTTGTCCGAAGTAGCAACGAAGCGTGGCCCTTCCAACAATGAATCCAAATACCGCGCTTCAGCAATTTTAAGGAGCAACATCCCAACCCGCGGATCATTGGCATCCAACAATTTTCTGCAAGAGATATGGTCAACAAACACGGTTAACAAATACAATAACAGAAGTTAATAAGAAATATCCAAAGAAAAAAGGAGAGTCCAGAGCAAAGCTTCGGAAAACTAGTGCGGCAGAATATTTTTTCCCTCTTATTTGCTAATGAACAACGAAAAACATCCATAGAAACGAAGAAGGTGATCGCCGTGACGTCAGGTTTGGTAAACCAAAAGCAGGAAACTAAATTCAGTGCTGTGTTAAACAAAGTATGCAAAATGTATGTAAATGTGTATAGGACAAAGTAGTAAGTATTAACGTAAATTACCGGTAACTCTCCAAAGCAAATTCCACCCAAACGGCTGCCTGAGAATATTCATGCCGTTTAAAATAAACGTTCCCCATGAACAGCATCAGTGCTGAGAAATAAGGATTGTTGTAATGGAGAACGTCGTACTTCTCCATTGCGGTATTGAGTTCGCAGAGTACACGATAACTGTTTTCGGGACCGGTCACGCTGCCAATTCGTTTAGCCAACTGGCTTTTCAGGAGTGGAAACTCAGCCATCAGAATCAATGCTGAACTGTATGCACTGTTGTCGTATAACCTGGCACCACATGCCACGCATTCGGTCAGAGCACGGTGATCCGAAGGAATAACGGCAGAACAATTCTTTCGTGGGCATCTCAGTGCGTACATTTCAGCATCCTGTGTCAACGTTCATAAACTCCAGAGTAAAATACAAAATGTAACAGTTGTATTAAAAACTTACTGTTCCCGGTGTGGAGCACCGCTGGCAGTCACAAACGCAATCATATTCTTCCATTAAGATCTTGCATCGACAGCTTCGAGGCAAAAGTTGGTCCACAAAGGAAACCGTTACCTGCGAGGATTTCCACCGACCAGGGGTAATTGAAATGTATAGCGAATTTATTTCAACAATACAGCTACCTTCGATATATCCGGAACATATTTCATAGCGCGAACTTTCAGACGGACACCTTCGAATATGGCACAAGCACTGGGCATACAGGAATGTTTCAGGTAAGCAAAATGTTTGTAAATTCCGTGCCCTTTCAGAGACTGTATAACATCCGTATCGTAAATGGCCATGGCGTTAAAGCGGATTCGTCCGTACAATTCCGGGAAACTATCGGGATCCAGCAGGTTCTTTTCTGTCATCTTCAAGATCTTGGCAAGAGATTTTCTGGTGGAAGTGACCAAGGCTTTTTCTTCCTCATCCTTCAACAGCACTTCCACGTGAGAGAGGAGATCCGAAAATTTCAAAAGCTCCCAGTCATTTTCCTGTCCAGCATCCTACGAGATTCAGTGCCACCACGTAAATGCATGTTCGAATTCTTCCCAAAAACACCGCTCTATACCGCTTTCAAGGAAAATCCTGTGTATTATATTGGCTGTTCTCTATTTACTAACTTTGCACTCTCAAAAAAGGAATTATAAAACCATAATTACGTCAGCAGTTACAAGGATGTAACCGTAAAATCCAATAAATTTCTTGTTCAAAGAGACGATAGCTGCATCAAGACAGCAAAAATTACGGAAGCATTCAAGCACCTAACGTACACACAACAGAAGAATTCCTACTCTTAACGACAGAAACTTGCCTTCATCGCCAGAACGGCCCGCAACACAAGGATAAATGTCACATTAGGCACCAAACCGGCATCCTTGATTCGCTTCCACAACGCACACTCGTTCTGATGGCGCAGCTTGTCTTTGTTCTGTAAAATATAACATATTTGCAAACAATAAAAATAATGATAATGCGCAGAAAAACTCGTGCAGGAAAAGGTCAGTGTCATGGTACTGATAATGATAATAGCGCCCTTATGTGAATATTCACAAGCAATTATCTACGCTCTCCATTCTTCTCCACGGTTTTGCGAAAGAGTACTCCAGGTTATTTCATGAAAACAAAAATAAATAGAAATACAAAAAGAAATCGGAAAATTCAAACGAATCCGACCAGTAAGCTGTAAGCAGTAAGCGCAGTCAATTTTTACCTGGCATTCTTTTCCACAGTATCGAAAGTATTTGCAGGAGCCGCAAGAGAACTCCGTCGGCCGCAGCTCGGCATCTGGCAGCAACTTGAGACAGCAATGACAGCGCAGATGGGCATCCTGCGGACTGACCGTGTACACGTATGGTTCACAGGAGAAAATGTCCGATCCGCCAGGCTGAAAGGAGCGAGCAAGCTGGCTTTGCCCGTTCTTCGGACGGCTGTTGTGGTTCTTATGAGACGGCTTCTGCTTGCGCGAACTGCGTTTCCCCATTCTGTCCTGTCAGTGGCGTGCTACCGTGCGCGTTAACTGGCAACAACAACACGGATCCAAACCTGTCTTGCTTGAGATCCTGATCGTGAGAGCATCCAAAGCGTTTACAGGTTTACTAAAGAAAAGTTCTTATGTAATCTACAAGACTGCAACCATTAACTATGCACAACGCATGAAACGATGTGTTTATGGTTTACTGTTTACATGAAAATATTTCAAAAGAAACAATCAAACACGATATGATGTCTCTGATATCGAACACAATCCACATCGAGATGTCCTCATGTTGTTTATTACTGACACTGCCAGATCCATACAGGTACAACAAGAATCATAATAACAATTACTAATATCACCGACACCAACACACCAGATGCGAACTTACAGCTGCACACTATCACTTAGCACAGAAGAGCAATCAAAATTATGGTGGAAGGTTTCAGTCTAGGATGGAAATTAAAGAAAGGCCACAAAGAGAATCGTATCGTATTCCACGATCCTTCAGTATCACGTTCTGTCAAGAAGAAAGCAAAATGCGAAAACCCAATGACCAGAGAAAAGAGCACAACCAAGCAGGCACTAAATGAATTACGGAAAAGAGATAAAAGCGTCCGAAAGAAACTTATAAAAGATTGCAGATTGCGAGGAGATTCGAGATTTCGCAGCCATCTGAGAAATCGCTGCCTCTGACTGACTTGTGAGGGCAATCACTGCTGATCAGCTGGGAGACTGCGCGGACTGCGAGTCGCGTACTCAAGCAGACACACAGAACAATACCGCACTGCTGCTGTATACAGTACGCTCTCTGAACTGGCCTCTACGCCCGTAAGAGACTAGTACTTACTACTAATGCTAATGTGCAATGCCGGGAAAAGACAGCGATGCACAAAAGAATAAAAGCCACATTAACGTTCCTAAAGGTCGCCGCCTGCGCTTTCACGATGAAAAATAATGCTATAAACCAAAAAGGCACGGTACAGTATTTGCAAAAAGCGCTCTGTATACTGTACAAATTTGTCACTTGTTTTTATCTCAGCATTCATCCTTTCACGGCCACGGACGGCAACATAAATGACTACTGCAATCTAATGTAACAGTTTTACGCAACACATTGTATGTAAAAAAAATAAGTCCCCCAATTCTACCCATAGTCATACGCACGGAAATAATCAAATAAGTGCCCAAAAGAGTTTTGCATAAAACTACCAAAAAGCGAAAAATCCCAAAAATCAATTACCAGTATAAAATTTTCAAAATGTACCAAAAAAATTTTCCATTAGCCTGGTAAGATATCTTCATCAGCTTACGCTGAATAAGTTGGCTACTGTAGGAAAGATAATAAAACCAAATTTATGTTAATCTGCCCATAGCCTGGTGGTAGTACGTCTGGCTTTAAGACTGTATGTCCTGGGTTCGATTCCTAGGTGGGTAACTTTTATCTCATAAAATCAAACCAAAAAAAGTATAAAATTTTCAAAATGTACCAAAAAAATTTTCCATTAGCCTGGTAAGATATCTTCATCAGCTTACGCTGAATAAGTTGGCTACTGTAGGAAAGATAATAAAACCAAATTTATGTTAATCTGCCCATAGCCTGGTGGTAGTACGTCTGGCTTTAAGACTGTATGTCCTGGGTTCGATTCCTAGGTGGGTAACTTTTATCTCATAAAATCAAACTAAAAAGTATAAAATTTTCAAAATAACCAAAAATTTTCCATTAGCCTGGTAAGATATCTTCATCAGCTTACGCTGAATAAGTTGGCTACTGTAGGAAAGATAATAAAAAAAAATGATCCCATTGCTTGATATAATTCACACGACATATTAATAGCATATAACCACGAAGTATCTGTACGAATGAAGTTTATGGACAAAACTGCCAAGTGTTGACGCGACATCAACTAAAAAAAGTAACTTAATATGTCTGCTTGAATCGTTCTTGCAAATATTCTCCGGCCGATATCGGTGGGTATTTCTCTGATCCGTCGAGGCATCTAATGACATAATTATCATCGGGATGCACGAAGAAAGCCATGCTCTGTCGAGCCTGATTGGCAACATTCCCGCTAAACCCTACCCGGTGACGCTGCAAGTGCAGAAAGACCACGATAAACGTAAAGCGAAAGAAATTAACTGCGTTTGGTACGGACACTGATAGCGACGTGATAAGAAAGAAAAATGGCTAAATGGAAAGCCCTACCGTAGAGCGGAGTTTATCCGTTGTCCATCTTTGTAAAAGGTCAGCCACATTGACCAGCACGCAGCCGGGCATGGGTGTGGCCGGGACGAATTCGTCCTTCCGATTCTCCACCTCTAATCCTCCCACATCATCTTGATATAACAACGTCAGCGTGCCGTAGTCAGAGTGTGTACCACAGCGCGTGAAGTGGTCTTTCGCCCCGGCGTCGCCATCCACGGGCGGATACCACAGAGTGCGCAGCGTGGTCGGATTGCCCCGCTGACCAACCAGGGCGTGACTGCGCTGGAACAGATCGGCCACCGGCAAATCCAGGCCCACTGCTAAGCAGTCAAAGATCTTTTTGGTCAGTTCCCAGGAGGCATGGAACAGTCTTGTAAACGTGGCCAGCGGTAAAGCGGGAGGCACTCTCTGTACATGTCAAAAATGCACTGCAGTGGTTTAAAAAAAAGTCGTTCACGTCTACGGTATTCATGTCGACACATATTGATATGGTAAATCTAAAAAAATTATACTACCATCAAACCTGGTGTATCAGTCTATAAACGTCATAATATTAGAGCAAATTACATCGATATCCGCCTAATTACCGCGAGGTCGAAAGGGAGGAAATTATAGGCTTCCCGCACTTCTATCGTTTCATGCTCTTTATCCAGGAATTAGAGCACCGATATCACGACATAACCGCGAGCCAAATAAATGAAATTATACGCACTTCTATCGTTTCATGCTCTTTATCCAGGAAAGCGTTCAGCCTGTTGCACACTGACATAAATAGATATGCCAAATAAATGACGTTAGCAACATTATTTTCTGGAATAACCCAATAAATAAAAGATTATTAGATATGCCAAATAAGTAAATGACGTTAGCAACATTATTTTCTGAAATAACCCAACTGATTCCAGTAAAAATAATAATTTAACGGACTTTAAATCCTCAAAGTGTATATTGATCATATAGTGACTTTCAATTTGCAGTTTGAATACTACCCGTAGTACATATGTAATATTTATGTGCACGCACAGCGTCGATCGCAGTTGCAGCGACAGACGCAGACATATCAAAATTAATGGAAATTTCATAAATTTTATGGAGTTGGTGTATGTACGCTATACAGACTACAGTACCGTTCCATTCCCTGGCAAACGTAACCGGCGTTCGCGTCAAATCCAGTCGGACGCGAATATTTCTTTTTGTTCTCGATTGGCGAAGTAAAGAAGTCTTTGGAAGCCTGGAATGCTGCGTCGATCTACAAAAAAAGAATCCAAGAAACACAGCGACAACCATTAATGATAACTGCAAAGGGTACGCTAAATATTTCATAGCTAAATTATAAATATGGCTAGAAGACGTATTCGTAGCAATTAATCAAAAACTTTAAAGTATGCATACCAGCTGCTGATCAACGCCGTGGTTTTTCAGATAGACAAACCCGGTGCTGCAGAAAACCTCCACTAGACGTTTACCAAAAGCTGCTCTAGTTGCTGGATTGTGGAATTCATTAAAATCCAAAACTGGGATGTGTGATGCCATCTTGCTCTTTCGCAAGGCGAATATGAATTACTTCTGGAACGCAAACTAGGGAGAATTATTGCTTCCCAAAACCAAGAAGCTACCTAGCGATGTCGTCAGTCGATTATGATATACTGAGAAAATTAGTAGGTTATTCTGCAATGCACATGAAACTAGAATAGAACGAAAACTAATGTGTTTTCACCTAAAAGCAAGTGCTAACATTTGTGTCCTGTTGAAAAAGCGCGAATTGGTCAGCTTCCAATACGATTCGATTGCAGAGTCAATGCAGACTCACCAAACCGACAGATTACTTTATGCTTTAATCAGCTGAATGGCATATACGAGTATGTGGTAAGTTGGTAATCTTATCAGATGCTGTCGCTGATCATGGATTAGCGCCTAGCGGCAGCAAGGTACAAAATACAAACAGACTCTACGTAGTATGTACTGTACAAGTTGGTATTGGGTTTAATTAACTGGAACTTGAAAGTGAACAAACACACGCACGTACTTCTGGTCATTTGCTATTTATATCTACAGTAACCGCAACTGCATGTGAACCGGAAAGGATTTTCTTCGGCCTTTTATTTACAATTTTTTTAAACACCTTTTCCAACATGTTAACCCACTAATTTCTATACATTCAGCATAGACACGTATAAAAACGTTCATAAAATTAATAGAAAACAAATGTAAAAAATTACTTCAAACTTGTGGATCAACAAATAAATCCCGTGTTAACAAGCAAACTTGCCGAAAGCCACTTTTATGAGCAAACGACGTAACTGAACCGCACTAGATCACAAAAGTCATATCAGAGTAATAAACATCGTATGATAGGACAATTAACGCCCTAGTAATCTTCAAAATGATCACGTCGCAGATCCCGCTCGAAATTCAGTTTGCTGGGCACACGCGCATCGAGGGCGGGGCTGGGAGAGGTGGTATTCGAGCTGGAATTGGAAAAGACATGCTCGTTGCCGCTGTCTGCAGGCGAAACCAGCTGCGCAGGCTCGGAGATGCTATTGCGGCGCATTCCGCGACGAGAAGTGGGAGGATCGTTTGAAGAGACCTTTCGCACACTTTCCTTCTTGCCAGAAGCAGCGCGCCCACGGAAGTTCTCTCCGTTGGCACTCAAGCAGGGAGAAGCCAGACTTGAAATACTGACTTCTGAACCACGGCGAGAATTCGAAACCAAAAAATCCGGATCCGTAACTAGCCAGCTTTGACGGTTTGAGCTTTTACTGTTCGTACTCAAATCCGGAGATTTTACAGAATACTGCAATATAAAATCCATTGAATTTAGGTATAATCTGATAACATCGATCCCAATACTTGATTAGGCAATACATAAATTAACCAGATACTGAAGAAACGAACAATATGACTCCCTCAGGAGCACATACCTTTTCTTTCAGGGTCTTTTCAATGTTTGTAAGAATCGGCTCAAGATAGGGGTGCTGTCTGCGAAGCAAAGTGGTGTCAACAAGAACTACTTCAGGGCCGACAAACTGGAGACGTCTATCCAGAAAGGACATGTCGCGATAAACTTTCTCCATGTCTGACATCAGTTTTCCTTGGCTCATATGATAACCGACAAAATTGTGGAAGTAGTAATCGTTTTCTAAATTTGCCAGTTTCCCAGCACATTTTTCACAATATTTCAAATACAATTTGCGATGTTTTGCTTGCAGCATCCTTTCCCGAGCCGACTTTTCTTCCTTGTCAGTCAGCACAGAAACGTTGTCCACCGGAATATTCTTCCGAATGTAATTCAGGATCAGATCGTGGAAACGATAGACATTGCACTCGCGAACGGTACAATATTCTTTGGAGCACAAAGAAGCATTGACAAAGTCAGCCATTACATCATCCGCATCATCCGTCGTCTGCGTTGACCACAGCACGTGAAACACATCAACCGGTACAGCAACATCTACAAACAAAAATACATAACGGTCATCCAGAAGCAAAATATAATTTTCTGAAAATATATCCGGGAATATAAAACACAACTCTAAAATTAACCATGTTTACAAACTTACCGTACATTGAAATCTTACGACGAGCAAGTTACTGAAACTGTGATATCTATATTAGCTTTTAATTGCTTATATGTACAATTCAGTGCACTACGAACTATAACGCGTCCGTCCATCGAACAATCAGTGCGTTTTAAATGCACTGCACAAACACTCAAACCACTACACGAGCAACCTCGAAATCGTAATCTTAACCTTACCATCATCGAATACGGCAAAATCGAATAATTTTTCCCTCAAGTCGTCCTTCAAGTTTTCAACACTCAAAGCAATTGTATCCTGAATTGTTTTATGCTGATACGGGTTGTTGTTCTGCATCTCCAAAACGTTGTACGGCTTCTCCGTTAATGTAGTCAAAAACCGTTTCAAACGCTGGGGATCATCTCGTACCATGCCTCCGATCAGAGAAACTGTCAGAGGTGCGCCTCGACTATGCTGATGAATCAGCCGCGTTTCGTCGGGCAAATCGTCCACAGTTTTGCCCAAAACCTTGGCGAAATACTGCTGCGATTCATTTTCACTGAATCCCGAACTGACCAGGATTTTTGCCACAGGAGCGCTAACTCCTACAGCGATGTCGGCACGCCGAGAAGTTACAATAATCACCTGCAAACCCCAATGAAATCGTAATTTGTTCTGATAGTCATAAGAAGAAGTTTCAGATAGGCGTACAGCATTAGGCATATACGCAAAGCATAACAAGTAAATAACTAAATTTAGTTAAATTAATCTGCCACCGTCTGCCAGCCAATCCAAAAGCTATGAAACAAACGGTATCTACCTTGCAGGATATTTTTTCAAAAATCTTCAAAACACTCTCATCCCAAACATCATCCAATACAATGGCTGCGTTCGGATATCGTTGCGCGAAATTTGATGCCAAACGTTGAATGGTCAGATCAATGTCGCCAGGAGCTGGCGTTAAAACAGTTGATGGAGAATCGTTGCCAACAGATTCCGACATCTGCAGCAATATGCCCAATTTAATGCTCAATTTATCCTTTCCAGGCTTCCCAATATCCAGCCAAAAAACACCACTGCTGAAACACAATGTACTCATGTCCGGCGCGCGCAAGGCCGCAGCTGCTAAATAGGACTTCCCGTTTCCCGGCATTCCGTGAATAACTACCCAGTGTGTTCCATGTGAATCACGTGCCCTTTCCGACGCTTTGATAATCTCGTCTTTGATCCGATGAACGTAATCCTCCCGTAAGACGTAGATTTCCGGTTCTGCAGGGACGAGTCCAACTTTCAGCGCGATGGTCCGCGTAACATCTATTTTAGAGCGCATCTTCTCCAGTTGCGATTGAATGATTTCGTGCGTATGTCGATAGCCAGAATTAAGGAGGCACAGCTGGAATTTCTCTAAGGTCTGAGGACCGGAAGCGGAAACAATATGATTGAGGAGCATATTTAATCGGTCCATGTTGGCGTTGACACCTGTGATGGCGCGGAGTTCTTTCCGTAAGTCATCGCTCACCAAACCACATGCGCACAAGCTGGGAAGTATGTCAGTGACGTTCAGCTGCTGTTCGATGCGATTTCTCACTTCGGATATGAGCAGGAATCGAAAAGGTGTTTTTCCATGTTCTCCAGGTTTGGGCGGCATTCTCAGCCGCAAATTTTCTCTGTTCTGCAAATCAACAGTAAAGTGCACCAAGCCGAGGAATACTAACTTGTGAAAGTTCGTAAAATAACTTAACAAAACCTGACAAAAGGAATTAATGAACTAATTGAATGGATTCTGGAATTTAACTGATCTATATTGCGGTAACAGGGTGTGTGAATTAATCGTTAAACGCAAAATGTATGGTCGACTAGGAGGCGATAAGCACTACGCTGATGAAGTTCTATACAACCGCTTCGTATGCTGCTGCGAGTACGTACAAAGTAGACTTATCAGACTTTTTGATAATGTATTTCTGGAACTTTCCAGGAGTCCACATGATTAACAGATCATAATACGCAAATAATTTAGCACAACGAGCCAAAACAAACAAAAGAAAACCTTATATACACAACGAAATGCTGTCTACCATAAATCATAATAAATTATGTAAGTAGTTATAATACAGTACTTGGCAGGTTAGGTACACAGTACTCACCAGTCAGCCACTAACTGGTAAGGATAACTTCTGGATACATAAGCTCATAAGCAGTGTATGTTACAGTTGTACGTCCTACTTGTCGTATCATCAAATCATGAAGAGTTCAGAAAACAAAGATGATGCAATTTCAAATTTCAAATCATGATCCGATAATTAATAACTGGTGATAATTATAATGTCACCAGCGTACCTTCAACGTAGTTATGCACAAGGTTCGCTATCCTCCGAGCGCTCTAATTTTCAACAAGCAAGGTCTACTACGGAGAAAAAACATTAATTTTTCTAATAATTATAACCACCAGTAACATGCTCTGCAGTCATTTATCGAGTCAATGATAAGAAGTGATAAGAACAGTTCAGAAACAATATGAAGGATCCATAGCTTCACGACTCACGTATGTTGTTAGTTGTTACCTTTACGCACTTGTAATCGCGTTACTTTTCAGAGTATCAAAATAATGCGCTTACGGTATATTATATAAATACCAATATTTTAGCGAACCTTTCCGACGCATGCCATGATCAGACTTCTCCCAGGGAAACTGAGGGAACCGTAACGGTCGCAGCAGCAAAATGGATTACGACGATGCTATATCTATATGAAGACTATATCACAATAGCATAATGGGTATATACCCACCTTGACAATAGCACATTCCCGACACGAAATCCATTATCCGGGTTTATCCTCGCTCTGAATGTCCGATAACTATCACACAAGCTGCAAAACACCTACTATCTAAGAGAATAAATTGAAAACACATGCATTATGATGCATAACTTCTAAAAGCAGGATACGCTGGTGCTGAAATAAGTACTGAAATTCCTTTCAGGCTTTGAAGACCCATGAACTGACAATAACTTGACAAAAAGGCTTTACAATTAGAATGCAGAATCCCAAAACCAATGGCAGCATGTAAACAATGGAAGGTGACTCATACGGTTGTAGCATAGGTTGAACTATGGATGACATCATCTATCGTGCACCAGTAAGGAGACGGAGTGAAAACCGAAAGAGAGAAAGAGAGGGCGGCGTTCTTATGACTATTACACACCTGTTGCTCTGATTATCGTAACTCGCATTTAACTGCATTTTTTAACACTTTAATAACGCTGTTACAAAAATTTAAATAAGGGCATACGAGTACAGATACTGCCGATTGATTTAATAACACAAGAAGCAGGTCGCAATTCGGGCCGAAATACGCAATATTTGAGCAAATCGAAATTAATTATCATTACCACAAATATCGTTGGTTTTTGGCTTTCAGTCGAAGGATAAAGCAAGATTCGACATCAGTCATCTTAGTCAAAACTGCAAATGTTCCAGTATTCCAAAAAGTAGTGCGCCCTGCGCAGCACTGCTTATGCCTACTAGCAGGACCTACTGTATACAGTAGGTCCTGCTACTAGTATTAAGGTCACTGAAAAGCTCCAGTAATTATAATTATGCATTATTGTGCGCGCTGAGCATCATAAACAGTGTACAACACTGAACGGATTCGGTATTCTACCAACAATGCTACTTTAGAATTGAAAAAACAACAAGGAAAATTAAAACTGGGCACAGTACGTACGATAATACAATGTCCTTTTTGTTAGTTAAAACCAAGTGTATTTAAATACATACGCCATCTTATCCCATTCCTCAATTCAAACGGCATGCAGCGAAGCTATTAAATGTTCCAGTATAATTATTGTATGTAAACAGTAGTACATGTACAACAATAGTAACCACAAAATACTAGCACGCAAAGGTAAGTACGGAATGTTTTTCCAACCGGCAGTGTCTTTCCGCGAGACTTCGGATTTACCGGAATACAGGAACACACAGAGGGCGATTTACGCCTACGAGTTGCAAACTCAATTTATACTGCCCACAGCCCACCTAACAGTTGTAAATTGACCTAATCGAAACCTCACTTCTCATTGTAATTTTTTGGAATCAGTATAAAACAAAATTGTTTTTAATTTCCAAATAAAATTACAGAGAAAATGTGTATAAAGAGCGCAGTACTTAAAGAATACTCTAAGGCCTAAGTCTAAGCATCTTCGACATTAAAATTGACGAACAGAAAGCCAAGAACTGTTTTCAGTGTGAAATTCCCTGCCAAAAATACAAAATATGAATAGTGAAACTACACCAGTCGATGGCTACTCTTGGGGACATTCAGTACCGACGCCACGAGAAAACATGTCCATCAAAATTTACAGCGATAACAGCTACTTATTCTAATTTAATTTCATCCCAAAAATCATCAGAATTGACTCAGCAATATACTGACAAATAAGGACACCATGCCGAAATATGCGATGCTACGAGATAATCACAACGCCTAAAAAGCATGCTTAAAGCATTCGCAAAAAACTTTACAGTCACCGGCTCAGAAAAAACCAATCAAAGTAACCAGACAAAATAACTAATAACTACTACAAATAAATAAGTAGTGAAAATAACCAGACCATACTGTTAAGTAGAGATTCTACCGATTTCGACCTCTTTTCACTGTTCTCGCTGGCGAAATGCGTGTCCTTGTGCTGCATGCTAACTATGCATTTCACCAAACGCTATATTTTCACTACATAAGTTAGAAGTTTGAACTCGGTTTGGGTATTTTAAAGTGTAAAAGTTACTGATTTAAAGTCGTTATTTTGCGGACGCAATAACAATTCAAGCAGATTTTTTAAATTTTTCATTCAAGCACAACAATGTGCTCCGATGGAATGACTGAAGTATTGTGGAGCGATTTTTCAAAGAAACCCATCCGGTGCTGCAAAAAACAAACTTTTTTACACCCAAAGTTACTTTTTTTTATTTGTTAAAGAGTACATAAACATTTTCCACGAAAACGCTTCACAATTCTTTTTGAAAATGATTTTTCTGAAGTCTGATCAAAGTTAGAAATTTTCTGAAACCTTTGCGAATTGTTATTGATTTTAGAAGTTGTTTTTCGAAAATTGTTCAGGATGGGACGAAGAACCTTCTTTGTACTGCGCTTTCCTTTGGTCTTACCGATTCTGCGCATGCAGTGCCGCCACACTAGATTGTGTGCACACCGAAGAGTGGACTTTGGCCACTCTTTCAGGTGCACTCACGGGACAGCGCTATATCTTTCCATTGTCTAGCGCCTTTGTCATGCTCTATGCGTCCTCACTGTGTAAACATGAGCCTTGTCTGCTCCTACTACACTTGCTAACTGGCATGGTATATAACACCCACAAGGCATCTTTCAGAATGAAAGAAGCGCTTCTTGAAGCAATCTTTCTTTCACTGATTTTGACCACAGGTGGCAGTAGTGTAGAAAGATACGCCAGCCCGCCAAATCGCTCCTGGTCGGCAACGAAAAAAACTTGAATAACTTTTTTCTTTTCACCGTAATTTTACTAAACTTCCGCCCAGTGATAGATGTAACCCTTCTTATTACAACTGTAGAATTTCGAAAATCTCGTTTTCTATCTTGCGACCATAGTACAAATTCTCCTTAAGTGTTAACCGGCACACTGTTTACTGTCTGGAACTCGAATTTAAATCGAAATGAGCAGCTGTAGGTGATTACGGGTCGTGATATACATTTAAGTAAGTAATAGTAATACTCCACACTCCACAGTACAATATGGATGATAATTTTGAAGACGTATTATTTTTATTCTAAGAACTGCTAAAAAATATGGTAGGAGCAATTAATACACCGCATTTTGAAATCAGTCCAAATTGCTAATCGCAAACGTATTGCATCATCGCTTTGGTTTTACGACCAGGATCATCTGGACGGTAATTTTTATAATCGGCCACATCTTTTTCCATGGCTAATAGTTGTTTCTGCAGTTTACCCCGTAGACCAGGAAGAGTTTCACGAATGCGGTTGGTGAGCTGCGTAATAGGAGAGCATCTTCGCCTTGTTGGCATAGATTCTAGACTACAAGTCCTATATACGTATACTAATTTTATACTTAAAATTGCAAAAAATGTGTGTGAAAAACTTTCAAGCCGTCAAGTGAGCGCACCAGCTTTTCTCTGTAGTTAAAACTGTTTTGGGTTTTTATATTGTGATGACGCTCAGCATCATAACGATGGCAAGTATCTTCAAAGTTGGATGGGTAGAGGACTAGGAACGCCTACATAAAAAGGTCTATCATCTATATATGAACCATCACATAAAATAGTTATGGGCTAACAGGTATCGATTATTGCCATTTGTTAAATTCTGTTTTAGCCTGACAGAGCGGCACATTGTGATTTCTGTATGTATAACCATACGCCGCTACGTTGGCCATAACTTAAAATCGGGTTACTGTTTCGCGATCGTCCATTAAGGAATGATTTGTTTGGACTTGATAATATCCCATATGAATGCGATGAATTACTCAAACACCGTTAACGCAGTATCTGTTGGTTTGCATTCCACATTTGCGCGCATTCCGACGCGTTCGTTTTCAGCCACCTTGCAGCTGCTATGATTATTATCGTTGACATTACTAATGTTCCGCCCGCGATACGGGCACTTCCCGAACTCTTCGTAATTAATGTTCTGCGTGCCATTACAGTTTATCCACTAATGCGTTTTGCCGATGTGCATTTTACGGATAATTTACACAATTATAGTCATTTTTGCTCTTTTCGTTGTCGGTACTTTGACAGCATAATATACATGAGAATGAGTACCGTATGTAGCGCAGTATAAATAAAAGCGGACAATATTTTCGGGTGGTTTTCTTTTAGCATTGTTTTGCTACGATGAATGAAAGTAGGTGAACCCTTCCACCATGATGTTGTTGTGCCTGTGAATGGACCGATCCTTTCCGGTTGAACGATCGAAATTGTGGGACCTAATTAACGCCCGCGTGGGATCGCCTGAATTCTGCAGTGTCCGGTGAAGGTTTGAGGGGATAATCATTCAATAGCCTGAAGCCGACCTACTGTGCATTATAAATCAAAGTGCGCGTACACCGTACATTCACTACCCTACTTGTAGGATTATTTTTGTCTTGTGATAATATATCAGTGCCGACAGCTCAACAAGGATTTATTGGTATTTATCATCAACAAAGAACCACAATAAATCAGTGCAGTATCTGTTAAACTACCATCAGTGCTTATCTGTGCGCCATCCGCCGTCCAAAAGCGTAATTATACTAGACCGCGTGCGATGACAAAGTGCCGCTCGTGGCAAAATTCAAAAGGATACGAAAATTCAAATTCCGCCCCGTGCTCGATTGGCATTTTCAATTCATTTTGGTCTGCCGTGTCAGTTTCTTTACACAGCCGTGCGATTTGCAACGCCATAAATGAGCATGATTTGACTGTAAAAAAATTATCCGCTGTCTGAATTGTACTAGTACTCGTACTAGTACAACAGTATTATTCGTGGTTTTTTGAAAACATACCGACAGATACCGTTTGTCGTTGTTGTAACTTTTGTTTAGCCTTTTCTGGCTTTAGTTTTATCTACTTGATTATTATAAAAAAAACTGTATTATTGTACTGAAACAGGCAAGAGCCATAAAATTCGGTCTGCAGGAAATCATGATTTAGAGGCTTAGCAGGAGCTGGTGTAACTTGGTAGCTTGTTAAAGTAATGAAAGATCAAACCAGGCAGTGTCTCCACTGCATTTCAACAACGTCTTTTTTATACTAGGCGCTGTTTTGATGTTTGATATTCAAATCTTTTCATCGCATTCGCGGATAACCGCTTCGGGGAGTCCCCTTTTATTCATAACACGAAAATATGAAATTCATCAATTGACCCGGAGAGTGGAGACACCAGACTTACGCATACGTAGTCTAAAATCAACATCTAATTGCCTCCAGAATTTCCCTGCTGATTATAAAAGTCTACAGCACTATGTACTTATAACCTGGGATAACACAAACTTTCTTAAAAGAAATTCAATAGCAACACGCATGGCTTCTCTAGCACGGCTGAACGGTAAACTTTCTTTCGGGATAGGATTCGTGTTCTACACTTCTAGTACACAAGCAAGAACGAAAATAAATGCGGATAAGTAAATACGTATATAGTACGTAGCTGGACGTTAAAAGGAGATGGCAATTGCGACTGCATTTTGGTCATGCCAGTCATTCCGCCCTACACTGCCCCAAGCCCCCCAAACGAAAATGCCAAAAATCGAAGTTTTTGGAATCTTCAGAATCGGTCTGCCAGAGCGGAAATTCCGAACGCGACGAAATTCCGAGCGCGACGATAATTACCAGCCAATGGCAGCATTCTCGGGGTGGGCATGAATTTTAATTTCGGCCGTCATTTTCATTTTCGACTGGCATGTTCATCCCGCCCAAGAAGATCGCACTGGGCACACTGTCAAACAAAAAGCATTTGCCCTTTAAGGGAGAACGAATATTAGCAAGCTGTAGTTGCACCGGAAACCTACAAGCACAATTGGGAACAAAATAGGAGAAGGCTTTCCTATAGGCTATAAACTTGTACACACATACTCCCGTAAAGCCGGTTTATACCGTGCATGACGATGCGCTCAATAGATTCGATCACGCAAGGCCCAACTCTTCATCGGCTGACAGTTGAGAGACGCATCCTTGTAAATGTCTTGCCCGGTTTACGGCAACAAAATGCCCGTGTAATCTTTTATCCTTATGGCATGTACGGTCATTTCCTCCTTACGTGCAGCAGCTGTAACTAGTCGGTGTGCTGTGTTTATCCACATTATAATGAAGGCTGCATTCCCAATCAGTTGTACTATATGGTAACCGAGTGGACGCGGACGCGCCGTCAACCGTTTCCAGAATACTAATGCTACGGGAATCGGCATACAATTGTAAGCTGTTTCGATGTGGTTGTGTGACCGCTTTATGACATGGCGGGCTTTGTGCCCCCATGGATGAACTTGGATCCCTTTGGATCAGTTTATTTTGCCTGGTTGGTGTTAATATCGTCCAGCGTCTGCTACAACTGGTACACCGTACCATTACGGATGGCGTTCGAACAAGTCCAGCACGGATTGTGGTGGATTCCGGATTTTATCTGTGATATTTTCTACATAATGGATATCGGCGTGCATTTTCTAATGAGTAAGACGTAATAGCTGTATGGTAATTGGGTTCCGAAAGAAGCCATACGCACTCGGCGTATTGTGTATGTGGTATGTGCGGTGCACTAGAGGGTCCTGTTATGGACAGGAAAATGTGTCGACTCGATTGTGGTCTGACACTAGCACAGCTTGAGTAGTTCAAGTGCCGTCTGATTTGCCGACGTTGGCATTTATTGTTTTTCTATATACTTGTGGACTCTTCAGAATAGTTCTTTGTTAATCAATAGGAAGGACAGGCTACTTAGATTTAATCCATGGTACAGTTATCAGAAAGCGTTAATTCGATTCTGGAAGCCAATTTCCCGTAAAGTGTATATGTTGACCTATATTGCTAATGAGTCTTACTTAAGTCGCGGATCCATTTTTTGTTTACTAGAATCGGTTGGACTGAATTCGCTATGGTATTACACAAACACAAACTCACAATAGTAAACAAAATAAGTACTTATACGAATTTTCTAATGCTGTATTGCACGAGTCAGAATAAAAGTTTAAGATGTCGACGATTCTGTTTGGAGTTGCAAAGCGTATGACACATCAAAAGTATACGATGCATAACTGCATTTTCTCCTTCGTGAAGTATTTCTTTTTTATTTGATCATAATTTAAGTTAACAACGAGGTTGATTAATTTGAATTTGAAACAGAAGATTCATTGCTGTACGTTCTACGTTAACTTCCAATCAGCTGACAGCACATGGAATGGTCGGCAACTAGGCGCTATGATTAAATGAAAACAGCCAACATTCTGACACGTAAAAACCAGCAGTGAAACTAAAGTACCAGGCTTTTTAATCCGGGAAGCGTACTTCAACCTTACCAACGTAGCCATTATCCAGTATAGATTTTATTCAGTTCTCTTTTGAAAAAATTAATATAATAAGCCAATCAGATTTATATCCATTTTCGATTTTAGGTTTTCTACACAAATGACAGTAAGTAAAATTATTATCCTGCGTGAGACATGATCGTAATGCAGAATAATTAATACATTTAACGTCAGTTCATAGACATTTTATTGCTTTTTGTTGAGTCTTCAAATCACCAAATTGGTGTCTCGTTATTTTATTATAAGGTTGCCATTCGGAAAAAGTGACTATTGTTTTTACCTGTAGCCTTCAGGTCAATATTCAATGGCGGAACTATTTCATAGATATTTCGCGTATGATTTTTACAGTTGATTACCGATATTGTTGCATTTTCATATGTTAATGTATTGTGCTTCTTCTGCCGTGCGATTATGTTTGTCGTTTTACTCAATTTCGGTTGTTTTGCAGTTACCCCATATTCTGGGATCATTGAACAAGACCTCCACCGCTCCCGACAGTTGTATATGAAATCTGTGGTGTTTGTATTGGATGTCGTCAGTATCGTGCCAACTGACTTTGCTTATTTTTTCCACACTCGTCAAGGAGGAAATTGGGCATGGCGGCTCAATCGTTGCCTTAAAGTTCACCGCGTCTTTGAATGTATCGAACGTATGACCAGTCATTCTTCCTTTCCCATGGCCTTCCGACTGGGTCGGATTCTTTTCTACCTTTTGGTTCTAATTCATTTAACCGGCTGTGCGTATTACTCCCTTAATGTGTACATTGGATTTGGGTATGACGGATGGACGATCGAAAATTACGGTAATTCCAGCGAAGGACAATTTGTTAATTTGTACGTGCGTTGTTTGCACTGGGCTACTGTGATTCTGGCTGACGAAGGGGATAATTCTAAAGCCTCACTTGTCATCGAATTGTTGTTCCGCTGCTACTTCACTCTCAAAGGTCATATACTGGTTGGTACCATTATCGCTATCGTGGCCTCCATATTCGGAAACAATCGGCGCAAACTAACGCGTTTTCGTCAGCAACTGGATGGAATTAAGACATACATGGCATTCCGACATGTTGATGAAGAGATGCAGGACCGCGTGTTAAAATGGGCCACCTTCATGTGGGAAGAGAGAAAATTTCAGAACAGCGAAAATGATCTGGAGATCTTACCGGTGCCGCTGCGGAGGAGCATTGCCAAAGCGGCACAAATGGACACGTTTCAGGTAACAAGTTATATGCACTGGATCAGTTATTTCTTTTTTGACGGTTCTGTAAATTGTGCTGGTTTTCTTGAATTTGGTACGATAGCTCTCTGTATATTGGCGATCGATACTTCAATTCAGGCATCAATTCTCTTCGGCATAGAAAAACGGTAAAAACGCGCGCACCTCTGAGACATTCGATTTCTACGTTGTCTTAAAGGCATCGATCGCTGAATAACCTTTGCTGCTTGGCACCATAAAAAATCGATTGATTAGCTGACTGCGTCAAGACCTTCAGCACACTCTTTAAATATGGATAACGATACTTAATGCAGGTTAGATTGTGTGTTTTCCATATTTAATTCAGACGATATAATTTGCATGATTATCTGTCAGAAATGAGGATAGTGCTGCATCCGCTCTATTACGATGGCTTCGACATTTCTCGTGCAGCACGTAATGTTGACTTTTGATGCCATCACAATTTTTGACAATTTTGAATTATTATAGGCAGCGAATTTGCAGACGAAATAAGAAAGAAAACGCACCCATACTTGCATACATGCAGACGCATTATATATAGGCAGTTCGTTTGCAGCGCCGTGATTAGATATCCATCGAAAATTATATACAATCGCCATGCTTTGAAGGACATCAATAACTTCAGCATCACTCGTAACAAATCAATTGTCTGGACTATAAAATCAAAATGTATGGCTCACTGCTTTTTAATATGGCGCACGTAGTCCTGTACACTTTCATATTATCCGAATTAAGTCTAGAGCGGAAATTGAATGTCAACTTTGTGAAATTTTCGTCCAATGGAATTGTCATTTGCGTAAGAGTTTATCATGAGCGTATTATTGAAATCTGATTGGGAAGGATAGCTGTCTTGTCATTTACAATTTTTTCCCACTGGGATAATAAAGCGCTTGGGATAGTTGCACATCGATCGCTCTTCAGCATTTGCATGGCATCCCCCGGAAACATTAAGAACAACGTTCAGATAATTGGTTTTCACTGCTGGTTGTAGTAGGTCTGTAAACCATCAGAATGTTTTACCATGGCATACTGTTCAGAACGTGCTTTTTTTAAATCGAGTTTTAAAACATTACCAATATGAAGTTCTACAGATATACCTTTTGATTATTTTAAAAATTCAATCGATTGTAATGCAGCTGCTTTGAATTGCTTAGCGCTGTTGTCTGTCACAGAAGATGTAATCGTAAATGTCGGCACTGTTACTGTACCAAGTTGCAATGTGAATGCTTATTTTATAGAAATCAGGAATATTTCAGTTCTTTTTGGAAAGCGCATTAATACCTGTACCTACACGAGCGTGATCCCGATCTTTGAATATGTCCACTTTGTATGTACAGTATACATACTTGTACTTACTGGCTAGTGCAAACGTCGGTATTATTAATTAAGCGGTAGAGTGTACTGAGTACACTGAATGTACAGCAAATCAATACATCGAAGATGCCGAAACAAATTACCGTGGGTGGAACATTACCTTAATCAGTGTCAAAGCTTTCAGATCTAGAGAGTGACCTTTGAAAAATCCTTTCTAAAGTATGTTCAAAGAAGCTTAGGGCTAATTAAGCTGCGTCAACGTGTAACCTTCAAAAAAACCTTTACATAACAATTGTTGTGGGTTCAAAAACTTGCACATGCATGCGCTCAGGGCTAAAGTTTTGCATATTTTTTGCATGCTGCTGATACGGTAAATCACGTACGTATCTGTAAAGCACATGTAAAACGATTAAAGGATTAATTATTGAGTTTGCTAACACAAGACTGACCTACGATCGCACCAGCAGTTATTTTCATATATCCATGTCCTGTATTGCAGAGAGTGCAGTTGTTTGTCGACTGTGAGCCTCAGTTTTTGGAAGAACTGATTATGCGCTTGGAGCTACAAGTGTTTTCTCCTGGTGATCTTATCTGCCGGAAAGGAGACGTTGGGAAAGAAATGTACATCGTGCGCAGTGGGACGTTACAGGTGGTATCGGAGCAGGGCGAAGTCTTCGCTAATCTGGCCCAGGGCAGCGTTTTCGGAGAGATTAGCTTATTAAGTATTTTCACCAAACACGAGAATCGTCGAACTGCCAACGTCCAAAGTTTTTCTTACTCCGAACTCTTCAGTTTATCCAGTGGAGACTTTAAGGAGGTTCTGGAGAGTTTCCCTGTAGCCCGGGAAAAGATGATCGCCAAAAGCAGAGAGCTACTGAAAGATCGCACGCTGTCGGAAGTGGTACATACAAATGCCGATGAAGACACGGATTTGAGCTATAAAATCGAAAGACTGCAGAATCTATCCCAAGAGACGGTCCTTTTGATTGAATCGTTTACCAAGACAATTATAACCGATACGGTCAAACTCAAAAAACGCCTGGCTGCTCTGGAGGCGCTGGCATCCAACCGGGAGCGACCACATCCGACAAGGACAAAAGCCAAATTAGCCTTTGCTCAAACTCCTGTTTAGCCCTTTTGCACTGACTTATAAGCTACCACAATGTCTTTGTATATCTTCCTTGCCGGTGGCGCCTTTTCTCCATGTTGATACATCAATAGACATGCCTGATCAATAGCCTTTTGGGAATTTTGTTGTTGCTTTGATTTGCGTAGCGTTTGTTAAACTTGATGAAAAATATGGTGTAATAAATATTAAATATCACATGAAAAGATATTGATGCACTGGTGTTCGTAACACCTTTATCTTAAATGTAAATAACTCTCTGTATTTGTATATTGTGTATTGTCACAAAAATGATTTATTTCTTACTTATAATATATAGATTTTGACTCGAGCATACGAGTGTACTTCTTGCCTATTAGGTAGTAGATTGTACCCAGAGCAAAGTACAATAACTAAAGAAAAGGAATGCAACGGAACAGTTTTTTTGTAATAATTTCATTTCAATACAAAACAACACGGTTTCGGATGCTGTCTTTCACATTCTGATTTATAATAATACATAACAAATATTAATAATATAATTAACACAAAATATTTAACCGGTAACAAACAAACAAAAATCCAAATATCTACCGCTATCCATAAAAAAACGAAATATTCCAAAAAGGCAGTTGAAACACGTAATACTTTGGCCACGAGTACGCAAAAGCGCGACCATAATTAGAAATGCACACTTGAAAAGAAAATGCACACTTTGTAAAATGCAACACAAATAGTGACTTGTCTTTGTCGCATGCCATTCGGATAGTCTCCAGTTCCATGAATTGGCAGTTATCCGATCCTGTCACGTGTCCATTCAGATAAATGCAAGGCTACCTCACGCAATTTCGCTTATGAAAAAAAAGATGTGGACAACCCAAAACACCACACACGCGCATTATCCATCAACAACGTTAATTAAGTGAAAACAAAACAGGTAAACTGGAAAAAGCAAAAGAGAGAACCGGAAAGAACCAGGAAAAAAACAAAAAGCCTTTCCATCAACTTTAACCTCATGAGCAATTTGGCGGTCCTGTTTGGTGTGTGTGTGTGATGCACAAGTGAGTACTTGTTGGGGCTGAGTTGCTCAGCGAGAGGGAAAAGAGGAAGAACTTAGAGATTACTTAAGAGCTTTCTCTGAGGAGATAACAAACGTCAGATCGCAGAATTGGCCCGTCTGGATGAGAACAGTGCGGCCACGCCAACGCTGTATGCGCGGCTTAGATTCGATTTAGTACTTCATTCAGCCGGCTGCATGGCTCAGGATTGCAGGATTTCGTAGTTTCCGGTCTCAGACTAGCTTTGCAGAAGGAATGCCGTAAAAGTTGCTGAGATTTTTGGTGCAGGCAAAAGATATTACGTTTGGAAATGCCATTTCCACAAGTCTTTGAGCACTATCAAGCAAATACAACAATGACGCTGAAGAATGAGATTTTATTTTATTTTAAAGAGCATAAAATTACAAATCACAATACGATTATTGTAAATATATTTAATATTAATTTCATATTATTTTCGGATTTAAGTTAAAAAACATAATATTATTAGTAAGCAAATAATTATCTGAAAATTGTTAAGAATTTCGAAGCAAATTATTATGAGTCTGATAAAGTAGAAGCACTTACCTCAGTCCAGTTATCGGCTTGCCATATAAAATGATCGGAACATTCTCCGAACGAACATATCTGCCTCTCCTTTGGTCTGTGTAAAATAGCAAAGCATTAGTATAATATGACCAGTCGGAAATACGTGTATCACCGGGAGCGAACTCCTGATTGTCTAAAGTAGCTTGAAAAGGATCAAACTCACGTTACCTGTTTCTGGTATCGCATCTATAGGGACTCTCTGTGGGCCACCATATAGTCGCACCGGTTAATTCGTCCACTTTGTGACAAGTGACGCGGCGCCACCGCACACCGGAACCACAAGTTCGAGAACACTAAAAACAATGACACGTGGGAGACTGGCAAAAATTAGTTTGTTAAGTTAATCTAAGTAGAATTACTTGGAGTCATTTATGAACCTACGTGCAATCCGTTACTGCAGCGGCTCATTGGCAAAAGAAATTTTATTGGTACGTCGCTACCCGTTAGAAGTATAGTACTATAGTATAGTACAGCAAAAAAAATGTGCAGCTGATGATAAGCACAACGTACTTTTGACCAATCGCCAGCCATCCAGCGGAAAGCACAGGCCTTGGTGGTTTTACACACCCTGACGGATGGCGGAGATTTCAATCGACTGCCTCGTAGTCGGCAATAGGAAGAGTCAACAATTGTGTTGTTGACAGAATATACACACTGGACTTGGCGGAACTGTTTTCCGCTATCACAGCTAGCCGAACACTGGAAACGAAACCATTATGACCAATGACATAAACAGTAAAAAAACTCAGAATGTTTAATCTTTTTTTATAGAAAAGGTTCGTTGTCAGGTATAATAAATAAATAGAAGCACACAGTGAAATTCCCGAGTTTGAACGAACTTCGCACCGGTTTTTGGACTTACCGCTGACCACCGAGAGACAGTCCAGCGATACAGATTCCCACACTGGTATTCTTCACACACCCGTTTTCCTTTTGGCTTTAATTGACCTTTACATAAGGCATCGTCCACTTTTACCATGGTAGATTGGAAATGCTGACTGAGACCACCACGAGCGCACAGAACGTCCCTGGTGCGATAACCGTTACCACAATCCGTGGAGCACTGCAAGAAAAATGCATGTGGACATAATATTTGAGAGGCGGTGTGATCCTAAACGAGGCATAAAGTAACTTTTGGAGAACGGTAAGGTGTTCTATACTGTTTTAATAGTAACTGTGCTCACCTCCGACCATTTCGAAACTCGCCATTTGGGGCAAACTTCCAGTCTGCATTCATCGGTTGAGGGGGGTTTTTCTCTCGCACTGCAGACTGTTTCATCTATCTGAATATCCGTCCTGCGCGGATCAACACAGTTTACCTTTCGTTTCCTGATTCCTTTTCCGCAAGTCACACTACACTGTAATTCAAACCGAAATTAAAACAATATTTAAAGCGCTGAAAAGTGGAAAGCACTCGGTATTAGAATAATTATATCAAAATACATATATATAAGCAGGTATCCGTACAGTATACGAACGGATGATGGCATTATCTGCAGCATCTCGTGGTGTACCTACTATTAATTCTATAGTCTACTAGGGTAGTAGGTACCAGATAGCAAGTAAAAGCGTTGATGTAAAAATGAGCATTCATAGTACCGCAATTAACTCTGACTATTAAAACTATAGGGCTAGGGCATAAGTTTAAGCTTAAGAAGACGCGTATGTTGCCTTTTAACGATGTACCTAGAACCCACTGCCTAAAAATATACAACCCAAGAGCCAAAAAATCAACATCTGGAAGCGGCGTTACACCAGAAGGAATGGTCAATAAAACACATATGTTTGACGCCATCGTCTCGGACAGAAGTGCCATTTTACATACGAGCAATTTCGAAGCATTGTGGGTAAGAAAATTAATGCGGCTCTGCCATGCATACCCTGCGGCAATGTCAATTAGACAACAAAACCAGTTCATACGCCAGCTGCTTAATAGTTATACTAGCTGAACTTGACAATGTGCCTGGTTTTTAAAGAGAACTTATGTTTATTTTTATACATCCGATTTTAGAATCTTTGGAACAGCGACAGTCTAATGTACTACATACTGCATACTACATACTGCACAAATCGCAGACAAACTTGGGTTTCTATTTTCCAATAGATTTCTAACAACTACAACATATTAACAAACGATGTATAACGGTGGACTGTCAAAATATTCTTCAACAAAAATAATAAAAAATCCACAATGGCAGTGCAAATTTGAATACAAAGTAAAAGGTCATGGCAGAGACAGTGATCAATCGCATCAACGCGGAAAATTTTAATAATCATAGTCGATATCATCATCTACAAACGATGACATCCCGGTTATTTTCTTAAGCCGAGCACTTCTGTACCGATAACGTTGCAAGTATTTTTTCTGTTTAGATTTTGCCAGGCCGCTTCCAGATGGATGTACCCTACGTGTAGTTCTACGTGTCTGTACCGGTGACCAGGCGTCGGCCTGCCAGATTCCCTGCACCGAGGTGGTGGTCGGCTGCACTTGATCCGGTTGCAGCACTGGACCCACTTCGTGCACGGCCTGGATCTGGGATGCGGCCGCAACGGTGTTCCAGTAATCCACCGGTGTACTGCTGCAGGGGGTCTTGTGGCAGCGCTGGACACTGACCGGGCGCTGTGAGCGGCTACAATGGTAGCTGGCCATGGTGGATCCGCGGGAGTCTATACACTGTACCATACGCCGCTGATATCCCCCACCGCAGGATTTGTTACACTAAAAATAACACCGTCATTAGAATGGCTGCCAGATAACTCTTGACTGACAGCAGCTGGACTATAGTAGTAACAAATTGTGATGGCTGTCAGCTGGCGTAAATGATCACTGATCGTCACTTTCTGTAATGAATATTGCTTCAGCTCTCATTACATTATAACAAGTTAGCAAAGGTCTTCCGCGTGTTTTTTCGTTCCGATTTTATGTGCATCTTCATTTTAAAAAAGTGAATATTTAGACGGGATTGGTGCTGCTATGACATTTTACTCAAGGAAGCAAGCATCGTTAGCAACTTGGCATTATCTGTATTGTAATTACACTTAAAAGTTAACCTTTTGCAGAAGTGTGTTGCCGTGTTGCCAACTGCCTGACAAGATTCAGCAGATGCATGGTTTAACGGTACTTACTGGTCCCCACTGGCCGTATTTCCACTCTGGACAGGGTTGCTCGTTGCAGCGGGACGTATTTGTCGGCCTATTGCTCTCGTCACACAGGGGACCATCGGATGTCGATCTATAATTATTGTCGGGCATTTGGCAGGCTACCAGACGTAGCCGCATTCCGCCACCGCAGGGTTTCGAGCACTGCAGACACATAATAAAACGTACTGACATACAAATGTGGAATGTAAAATAAATAGAGCAACACAATTCTAGGCAAAAAACAAATTTCTACACTTTGAACTTTGAAGCGCCATTAAAGTACTATCGTTGACCATTGTTTTTCCACTCGGATTTCAACTCTGTAGTCCCTATTCTCTTACCTTTCCCCAGCCACCTGTAATCCAGATGCCTTTTCGTGCTGCAGTTGTCGAGATATTAGAAGGTCGCCTGGTAATGGTGGTTCTTTGTGTGGTCGTCGATGTTGTTGTTGTCGTTGTCGTTGTCTCCGGCGTGGATTGATAGTATTGCTCATATCTGACCTGGACTAACGGGTCATCCGCGTTCCGGTCTCCGCTGTCTTTCATTCGGATCAGAGTGCGGACTTCGCACATGGCCAGATCCGGACACAACTGCGTGCTGGGTGGACGGCTGTTTTTGTCACACTCATCCTCATCCTTGACCGGCCGGTGGTTAACAACGCATGCCACATATCGTCGCTGCATGGCTCCCCCGAGACCATCGTTACAACTAGCGGTGCACTGCACAAACCACAGAGCATGTTATTCAATTTTAATTTTTGCTTTTAAAATGTTTACCAATAAAAAATACATTATCAAGTAGCTATTGGCAGCAATTTTCACAGGCTCTTCAATATAATTCTCTAATTTCATTAGCTGTAATTATGATTTTGTGACCGCGATTTTGATAATTAACCGAAATGTCATGTAATATTATGTCACCCAAACACGGTGCTGAGTTGTTTATCAAACATTTCCCCGGCGATCGTGTTGCTTACCTGACCCCATTCGCCATACTGCCACGAACCACATTCGGAAACCAGACACTGCTCTTTTTCATGGGGTTTAGGCAGGGTCGCACAGGCGATGTGGGTCAAATATTTTCCGTCGCGACTTCGGCACCCAACTGAACGATACCTTTCACCATGCCCACAACTTTTCGAACACTGGATAATCAGAGCAGCGTAAATTAGCATCTAACTATCAATCTCAAGACTAAAATTACTATTTTTAATTATTTTTACGGCTTACTGGTGTCCACGATCCAGTCACCCATTCCACGTTACCACTGTAACTGGGCGTGGTGGCGTAAACTACAACCGGCCGCCGGGGTACAGGAGGCGGACCGGAAATAGGTGGTGGCGGACAGGGTACATCCGGGCAACGAATCGCCGGCGCGGGTTTCTTCACCGGATCGCACAGTGCATCTTCCGCTTCCGTGCCTTCCATACGCAACAAACACTTAACGGCGCGTCGCATTATTCCCGGTCCACACGTTGTCGAACAAACACTCCACGGTCCAACTGTCCAGTCGGCCGCACACGGTTGGGGATTACATGCTTTTTGGTTGGGCTCAGGCGCTTGGTGGAACGAGCAGTTGTACGGCGGAACACTATGCCCGGTGCTTAAATCCACGCAGACCGACGAGCGACTCTGTACGCCGCCGCCGCACGGCCGACTGCATTCCGACCAGGCGGTGTACTTCCAGGCCACCAGCCGGCAGCTGCCGGTACACGCGATCTCTTCCGCTGGCTTGGGTTCCGCTAGTTCGTTGCACTTTTCGACATCTACTTCCTGGATACGCGGCGCCTGATTGCGCTGATCGGCCGAGGAGAGGTTGTCCTGATACCACAAGTGCGCTTCGCCGTGGCGCTGATTGTCGTCGAACATTTCCCGCAAGCAGCGCACTTGCCGACGGATTCGGCCGGGCTCATTACACAGGGCATTGCACTGTGCATCCGGATCCTGGACAACGTCCCAGCGCAGTGCGCAGTGATCGTTGCAGGAGCGCGAATGCTCCGACGGGGGTGGCTGGCCGACGCAGTTGCCTTTCGTAACTGGATGCCGGTCGTTCTTCCTTACGCAGAGTAAGTTACGAAACTGCAAGCCTAAACAGAAATTTCTAAATTATTTATGAAGTGTTATCACCCCGCACTCGTAGTAACTGTCGAATTGTGCACTGCATTACATGCGTAACAGTGTGAACGGCACATCCATCACATTTATTGTTTTAGCATTTTTATGTTTGTTTGTTTATGTCTGTGAATTATTCTTGTTTATATTGGTTATTAACTTATTATACAATGTGTTTGTGCTTACCTTTGCATTCTTTGCTGCATGAATTCCATGGTCCTTCTGGATCCCACCTGTATTCATCTCCAACCGACAGCATATACGCGTAGTAAACATCCGGAGGGCGCAATTCCCCAACTGTCAAAACCTAGACCATATATCACACCCGATTGAATGAGGCAAGTGGAAATTTAGAGAAAATGTGTCAATATTTCATGTCCAAGTTATGCGGTAACATGGGGGCAGATAAAACCAGCAGTCACTAATCAAAAAGTCCGCGGCAGTCAAACAAGTTCGTAATGAGCGCCCGCTTTGTCCGTTTGACCGACTGATGCGGCATATCAAGCGGGTTATTTAGGGCCATTAAATTCTAACTGTCACTTCATCTTCCTAACAAAATCATCTGAATTCTCGGAAATTCTCTACTGCGGAAGGCCTTCTGCACCATTTGCACTCAAATTAAATGTATAATAAATTATCATGCTTTTAGCGCTGGCGTCTGACCTAAAATGGTGTAAGATTTAAGCGGATTAAAATCCACTCAAAACTTCATCGGCCAGTCGCATCGCTAATAAAATTAAGAAATGGCACGTGTTTTGTGCGTGTTGTATTTTAAGAGCAGCATGCATTCATGTATTTTTTTGCAAGAAAGAACATAAAATGCCAAAGGAATTTTTACAGTAATGGCAATTCTGAAAATCCAGTCGTGAAACACTTACATAAAGTAGTAACTTTTCACCAATTGCTCTTGTACAATTTATCCTCTCGACGTCGGTATCGGAACCGGTATAATCGATCACAGCATTTTTCACTGGATATTCTCTATGGAACATGGAAACGATGAAGTCCCCGTTGAAGAGATATGCGCCTTCGCTGTTGACAAGGGCTGTGAAAGTAAATCCATTAAGCGGCACAGTTTAACGGCTCATAAACAGGTTGCCTTGTCGACTACCGACCGAGATAATTGTGATCATCCTTCCGGCCTTCGTAGGCATGTTGTCGTATATCAATGTTAGAAGCGCCTTCAGGAATTTCCACAATGAAATTATACCCTGTACAAACACCGACAGACATTTCTGAACACAATGCACCTAACGCTGTCGTAAAACGTGCCATTTCTCCGTGTTCTCAGAGCATGTTGCAACATACCATAATTGCGTTCGTTATATGTTCCCGTCACGGTGCGACACGTTGAATTATCCCCGCCGCACACACCGCACGTGTCACGCTTCATTTGTGACCCGAGCTTGCCGTCGCATCCTGCTTTCTGCATTTGAGAAAACATGACTTTTTTATGTGTGTTGATCTTGTACAACACATTAATGATAAGTTTACGCGGAAGCATGACAGATAGCCACGGATGAGTGATTTTATGTATCGGAAATAATAAGGTGGAACATTGGTAAAGACGATCGTAAATTTTGAATGATAGTGAGAACTACATGCAGAAAAAACCACATCAACAAAAGACATGCGGGCCAACATGGTCGTAAATATTAGCATGTCACATTACAGTTTCTGCGAAGATATGTTGTAAAGAACATAATCTCTGTTATCTAACAACATTTTCCCTGCTGCGATATACTGCACCTAACAATTTTATATAATAAATTTTTCATTATTATGTAATTTTTCAAATAAATATTAAATTATTCTACCATACGTATGATAATTTTTGTTTATCGCTCATACTTTGCAGACGCCGTTAACGCATATATCCGAAGAATCCGGTCCACAGGCTGTTCCGTCGATGACCTTGTCCTTCAGTAAGAAAAACTTGCTCGTTCCCTCAACTCGACAATACAGCTTGCATTTCTGACGACTTGTTTCTAAAAATATGAGAATTCTAGTAACTGTCCAGACGGAGACCTTGCACAACAAATATCAAATATTAATGCAGTACAAACACAACTCCACTTACGACCATAAACTTTGGCAGTCCATACCACGCTGGGTTCAACACCTTGGTAGCCCATCGTTTTGCCATTAAATGCGCTACACTGTTCTTCCCGAAAGTCCAGCTCGGTCGCTCCGCAGTCCTTCAAGTTGCATGATTTGTAGCGAATTCTCTGACCGGAACAATATTTACCACCATTCTGAGGTCTGCAAAATATATTATGGAATACATGGAACGTGCTACAATCACCGCACCAATGCATCAGCGCCATACTTTGGATTATCACATTCACGGACTGATTCCTTAATTCCCCCACCACACGTTCGCGAGCATCGTCCCCATCGGCTCCACGGTCCCCATCCGCCGTCCACCGGATCCAGGCGGGTAAAATCCTTTTTAACACACTCTCCGCGCTTACACCACATATTCCATCCACACGACGTGCCATCCGCCCAGGGCAGATGTTGCGTGCGGCAGCCCGTCTGGTTGCCCAGACTGGTTGTGCACCACAGCCGCTTACATACCGGCATGAAAGGGCACACCGAGGCGCCTTCACCAAATACCAACTGGCACTGTTTGGTTACATCAAACATCTCACCGGGAAACAGAAAGGAATTGACGGACATCCGCTCCATCTGATAGGGATCTCGGCCCTGCACTAATTCCAGTCGGGTGGTGATACTGTTGGCCGCACTCGGCTCGTCCAGCAGACAGCTGGCCTCACCGGATTCCAAGAAATCCATCAGCTTTTTCGCGCTGCACGCCGACCACGTCCACGGATTGGAGTTATGGTCTAAACGGGGCGCCATGACATTGGTGTAGGTGGAGAACACTCCCGGCATGAAACTCCGACACATCCGGTCATCATCGTGGGGAATGTTAAAAAGGTGACCCAGCTCGTGTGCAATGGTGAAGGCCGAACTCAGACCGCTATCCTCGACGATCGCACAGGATTTTTGACGGTCACACATGGTGCCGATTTCAGCCAGTCCCAGCGTGTCGCATTTGTTTTTTAATACGGCAGAGATCCTGCCGGGTCAAGAGAATGGCGGCATCGTGGTGGAATGGATGGGTGTCGTCTTGCATGTTATAAGCCGATTGCCATTTGCAGAAGCTGTCCAATGTCTCTTGGGCGCTCCAGGTTATGCGCGGTCCATCACTTTCGTTTTCGAGTACAATTAGTCTTCCAACTATTATACTAATGGAGTTGCCAATGCTACAACCAGCAAATATAATTGATTGCCTTTTCAATAAATACGGATATGTAACAATAATTCTTCAACACCAAAGGTCTGACGTTATGCCCTGGGAAACGTTTGCTGTTTAACTCTGCCAGGCCTAACAAGAGCCTTTTTACGTCAATTTTTGCGGTATTTATAAAACGAACACTTTCAAAACCAAGTAAATGTCAATATTTTTATAAAAAGTCCATTTATGAGGAACATTTATGGAGAATATAATTTAATATTCATACTCAGGAAATTCTTACTAAAAGAGTAAAAGTACTGATACTTAACAAGGCAAATATATACTTAATAGTTAATACTAATTGCTTATTACTTGAAATGCTGTTAACTGCATTTTGTGTAAGCACAGTTCTAATTAGGCTTTGATGGCAACAAAATTGATTCTGTAACCTTGAAGATTGCCTTATTCAAACCACTTGCCTTGCATCGCGGTAAATCATTGCAACAATGGACATCAGTGTTAGAATGTATTCATTCAATTCCTTCCCGTGAAACTGCCGCATTGAATAATCAGCGACAACCAGCAATTCCACATGATATTCCCACGCTGTGGAAGTGAATTCGCTCATGTCGGTTTCGCGTTTCATTCGGCCAGTTGTCCGATTCATTCCTACATTTCGGACCGTCATCATGGATGAATTAAGTATGTCGTCTGACATATGCCGAGTTCGATATAAAATGTGCGGAGGAAAATTAAAAGTATTTTCGTTTCGCGGTATACTGGAAGAAATATCCGCCATTGGTTGCAAAAGATAGTCAGCATCCGGTAAATGAAATGCTCCCATCTGAAATTTCATGTTACTTATTAGGTACCTAATCAGCGATCTAAATGTTGCGTGATGGAAGACATGTGTTATCAATATACTGTATTTTATAGTATTATTTTATAGTTATATAGTTATACTGTATTTTATAGTTTATTTTATCGTTAATTAGTATATAAAATTATGTATTCCATATGAACAGTGCCGTCTATCAAACTTTTTAATTTCTTGTCAAAATGGTAATACATTTTTATGCCCTGCGTTCTGCAGTTTCAGGGTTAAAATAACAACGTACATAACAACGCGGTCTAGTTGTTACGATGCTTTGTAATCTAAGAATACACACCAGGTGCAATTACGCATGATTTAGAAGTATTTTGTGCGTAAATAACAGTAAGTAATAATTCTACGAATATATGCTTCATTTTTCAGCAGTGGAAAACAGTTAGATAAAAACTATTGTATATTAAAAGACAGAGAATAGTAGTGTAATGTTTCGTTGAATTTGTAATCTTTTTTATTATAAAAGCGGTCAACGTTTTTACATCACACTTCACAGCATTAGCCCCATAATTTGCTACCGGTGGACATGAAACTATCGATTACGCCCAGATCATTTAAAAATTAATATTCTATGTTTAACCACCAAAACCGCAAATGTACGTCATGCTCTATTATCTGGTTACTGAATCACCGAAATCATGTCGTAGTGAGTCGTACAATGTTTCCGAAAGAATTCAACGATATCAGAATTCCTCTGACGTCAAGAAGGAACGTTTTTTTATTCAGTAAAAATTCTTGAACAAACCTAATGCTAGTTACTGTCAATCTGTGCGGCATTCGATGACAATCATCGAACTCCCAGGCAGACAGTAGGTTGTCCGCAAGTGGGCTGCGCAAGCCGCAAGTTGCGAAATGAATTCTCAGTATTTGACCAATTAATGCACATCATGCTTGCACGCAGGACGCCATAATTTCAACTGTGTTAAATCAAATTCATCGTTTTCAGCATTCTTCAATATACATGTAATTATTCACTTTTATCAATGGATTTAATGCCCACGCACCTGTCGCTGCAGGAAATGAACAGCTTGACAGAATCGGCTGAACAAACATAACGAACGACTTGCATATTTTAATATTTGACCCGGCACAAAGAACCAGCATACTTTTGCCGTGCTTAAAACTTTTCATCAATATTGAATTTAAATTTTCACTAAAGAATTTTTGCAAGCCACTTAGAACCCTTCAGTTAAGGAAAATAAAATATCGCGATTATCCAGGCGGTCAAATGGACCATAAATAATATGGTCAAGGGTTTCACTGCACCAGAGTCAGTAAGAAAGGAAAACACTAATACATTAGTGTTACTTTGTAGTCTGCAATACTATTCTGTAGATTAAACTGAACAATCTTATTTTTGTCTCCGCTGTTCAGTGAGCTCTGTTGCACTTTACAAACAATTCATCTACAATTTCAGAACTTTTTGGTACGGTATGACGTTAGCCATATCATGATCACCTGCTGTTTCTGCGAAATTTTCAGTAACTTGTTAAAATCGTATCGTCGTATCATCGTTAGCGATGATCATGATCATAAAATGTGGCAAATCCGAACAGGTGTTTCGTATCGAAATAAAATAGCAATCGTTTCCAGCGCTTGCCGAGTACAAACACTTGTACGATTTCTGCTTCATATGCACTGAAAATTAATGCAGAATTTTAAAAATATCACAAACACGTATGAATATAACATGCATTTATTAAAGCCAATAAATCTTCTCATTAAAGCGGAAGCATGTGGCAACTGTTCACATTCAACAAGGCACTTAACGACCCAAGCGCGACTGCCGTATACGGTGTGCAAGACGTGCGAACATTTTCTGGCAGAAAAACATAGTAGACGATAAACTGCTAATCGATAAATTTGGTGTGTTTAGTTCACTGCACAATCAAAACAATAGCTTACAAACTTAAAATGCCTTCCAAGATGACATCGATCGTAACAGGCTTACGTACATAATTTATTAATTTCGTTTTCGTATGTGTATTTCTATAAAGTATGGCCACTTTCACAGAGTCGAACAGTTTCATCGATACTATTCGTATAATTGCATGTTCTTTCCACACCACGAACAATGGTAATAATGTAACGTCGGTACACCATAGCAGATATTATATTGCGCAAAGTTAACACAGTAAGGAAAACATTGATGAATCGGCCCTTAATGCGGCATGAGCCAGTAAAAGCTTACATTACTAGGTTGACACCAACAACGAACAGTATTGTTGTCGCGTTATTGATGGTGCAGCGACAATTAACCTGATTCTCAAGAAAGTTTAGCAAGTCAGAGATGCTAAGAGTTTTGCATCGGCGACGGAAGCGGCATACGACATTGCACCAGAATTATGATCCTAATGGTCGCAATGGTCAGTATTATAAATATCGCTGAGAGATCGGTATCAGTATTTTGATGTGGGCGGCATTTGTAAAATAACTCTTTAAACGCTCGCTCTACATGATAAAACTTATGTCTAGTGTTATATATGGCTATGTAACTTCCTCTTACACTTGCTCAAGTGGACAAAGTGCGGCAAAGGTTTTTCTTCTTGTTTTTCTTTGGAGTACTTGTGGTCGAACAGGTGTTGTGTGAGGTTTTCCATTAACACAATGCTTGCTTACGAATGCAACATATCAGGAATATGGCTTCAATAAAGCATGAGCAGAAAATTATGATTTATCAATATTGTTTCAGTTAAGCCAACAATTTTGTGTGCTTTGAACCTTTGCGGCACGTTTACTTTTACCACGTGGCTAACATTTGCCAACGCGCGGTACAACAATACACTTCCGTCTGGCAATAAAAACGCCGAAATTCCTGCAACCGCAATATTACCATACCCGCGATCATCAGCAGTTCACTACTATTAACGGATCCGATTTGATCAAATCAACGTGCGGAAACATTGAAATATTCATCAGTGAAACTAAAGTGCTAAACGTGCTTTAGAACGCTTTGTGGCTTTTAATGATTGCACAAGTGCTATTAAGTATTAGGTGTAACATATTATGACATATTGTGTCTCGTGTAACGTGATTATTGCTCTAGTTAGACCTCCTCAGCGACGCAAACAATGCAAGCAAATCTCGATTATTATGCGCAGTATTTTATTTCGACTTGTATAGATTTAATTATAACATTAAGTTTCTTATGCTGAAAATGAGTATTACACGGGATTTAATGACCCATAACAGCATAAGCTTCACTGATTAAATTTGATTAAGAATAAGAACTACTGTAACAGTACGTATTTGGAATACGAGTGCAAACGTGAAAACACTTATTACTTTACTATAATACGAAAAGTCAGACATCTTTCTCTGTTGGCTGGTATACGGCCAGTGCAGCGCACTATGGTGCATAAGTTATGATTCATAGAGATAAGGACGGGTATGTTAGAAAACGGAGGTGTGCAGCGCGGTATCTTGAATACGTGCGGTATAGTTGTTTTGACCATTCGAGCGCAGATAAGTTCCGATCGATGACACACGTTACCCGTCGTTATCTACTGCGCATTATGCACAAAAAACCAACTGGCGTTGGAAAGATACGGGAATGTCTGAGTCTTCGTAATATTAAGCAAGACACAAGCACGTTCGCCATGTTCCTAGACTATATAATTTTTTTGGGGATAACCCATACATCAAATAATAAAAAAAAGAAAACACATTTGGGAATAAAACATTTTGCGATTTCAAAGGAAAATTAACTGCTTAACGACATTCCTTAATTAAATTAAATGTGGTTGCATTTATGCACATACAGATACAGCTTGTTATGCTGCACGTTGATGTAGTCACACATATTTCTAGAATTTGTATCGTAGTTTATGTGCTCCACGTCCACGCTACCATTTCACAAACCAGGCACGAGGATAAAAACCGCTTATCTCGGCAATGAAAAATTGTTATGAACGTCGCGGTATGGTCTACCACCGTTTGTATCAACAGTTATCAATTTGACCTTAGCAAGTCGGTTGTGGCGATGCGTATAATTGGACGCCTGGAACACCATCTATAATTACCCAAGTGGAATTTGATTTTGTCGAAGATACTCGCAAGAAATATTTATAGAATAAAATTTTATATTGTTTAACATGAACGCAGAGCTGTATGGCGGCGATGGCTTCCTGCACCATGCTGAGGGTCAGGAATTGGGTTACGAAAAGTAAATGGCCCGAAAGTCGTAGACGGCGGTTGTGACGTCACAGTGTTAATGAGCTCCCGCTCAAATACGCTACTACAGCAGTCGCACGCTAAAATAATAGTGTCTTACGTCAAAATGCACAAACTTTTCACGCGTCGCTAGTTTTATGAACAAATTGGAAGGGAAATAATTTAAAAACTTCTTCCTCTAATCAACAGCCACAACAGCAAAAAACTGCAGTCGTTTTTAAATGTAATAAGAACTGGCGTTTTCGAGCAAAGTAATAAGGTACGCTCCGGCATCGTATATGTGATTAATTAAATAAAGATGCGCACAGCGCTGTACACGTGTATATACAAGTATGTAATGTCATGCCAAAATCATTCAAATTTTTTTGCGACTATCCGAAAACGACAATTCAAATGTTTTAGTGACATAACTGTTTCAAAAAAAACTGTTTAACTATTTCAGTTTAGTATAAACGACAACTACCGACTTCGGCTGACGTATAGAAGATCTGCATCGTACTCTGGCTAATTAATTGTCCTTTAACGTGCTGACTCACCAAACCAAATTGCCCAACCGGGTAATCCGCGGCCGTGGCGCTGAGCCGAGCCGGCTTTTGGATATTGTGCAACGTGTTCCAACATAAATCTATCACAGCTTTAGAATCTACGTCACCGTTGACCGTGCCGACCCGTAAACAATTGTCCAGCCAAGTGACATCCCGCCTCGCGGCTTCCGTATCCAGCCATGTCATCTGATGGCCAACATGCTGCACCGTGAACCCTGGTGATAAAATATTCCACCCTGACAGCAGCTGGCTAGGTTCAATCCAATCAAAATGGAAACTTCTGCCAAATGCTTGAATAAGATAGTCGGTTTCATTCTTCAGTGGGTGCAAAAGACTACGTCGCGCCCGGCCCGTTTTATCAATTTCGGATGTCGGCAGTGGATCGGTTTTTTGGCTGCTATCGGCATCGTAGCTGTAATGCCGTGCGGATGTGACCGGGTAAACTAGTTCATAGTCCGGTTAATATTCCCGGAAGATTCTGAAAGTCCAGATACAAAGTCAACTCGCATCAACTTTTGGTTTTAACTTTTAACTTATCAGTTATTACCATGCTTTAAATTGAATTGCTGTGTATCGAAATTAAAGGCCCCAGTTTTCGTTTGCAAATGTGAAAAAAATTTCAGTTTTTTTAAATTTAAAATTGACGTTAGATACACGAAATTCGCGTTAGATACATCAAACTGCTCGTCTGTTCAGCCGATCTGAAAATTTTTAATTAGTTTGTTTAAAATGACTGCTATATACCTGACTACATTTGAAAGTGTTCTTTCTTCTTTAACTGCTAGCTATTTAGTAATGCCAAAAGCGTTTCTGCTTTATGCGTTATACTGTGCAAATTGTATTGAAGAATCAAATAAAAACAGAAAGAATCCCATTTATAATTCCAGCCATTAGATACCATCATCCATGCTCTGTTAAACAAATCAGCCCGACATTCTGTTTACTATGTCTCGGTAGCCTATCGCAATTTTATTACCAGGTTTATGTCTTAAAAAGTCAAAATTCTTTGGCGAAAACTGGTGCAATCGGGTACTAACCCAAGGTGTTAAACCCTTTTAATAGGTAATTCAAATGGGTGCCTTTGCAAAATCGGAAGTTTATTTTTCTGACTGTGTAGTAAAACTTGCATTTTGCAGCCAGCAATTAAAATTTAAGTATAAAAGCCATAACAAGAAAAACCGGTAAAAATATATGCTTTTATCATAAAACTACAAAACTGTTATCGACCGTAACAGAATTATTTTGATTGATATTTTTATTCTTATCTAAATTTTGATATAAAGGGTGACTTGGACTTTTCGTGTGCACACATCCGATTTTGTCGCAAATGGTTACACTATAGTCGCCATCGTATGCGTAGTAGTTCGTAATAGTTCATAAGCCAACCAATTCACCGTGAAGAACACTGTATCGCAAGAAGTGGTCTACTTAACGCCAACAAAACTTCAATTCAAATATGCGAAATACGCTGATTCCACATCACTTATGCACAGTAATTAAGTCTCAAGAGATCTGTGGAGATGCATTACAAAGCACAGAAAAAACTACGTTTTCCAGCAAAAGCTGGTTGGCCTATGAAATGCGGCTATTTCAAAAGTATGCTTTTTTTTGCTGTTATGCGTCGATGTATGTAATTTCTGGTGTAAAATTTTTGCACAAACATAGGTTTCAGTTAAATAAAGCACTGGATGCAAAAGATTCTAGGAACCGCAAAAGAATATTGTCAAAATAATTGCCGGCATGTTGGCAACCGAACGACTTTTTCCTTGACGGCTAATAAGGAGCACATTAATATTAATAGACATTTAAATAAATTTTGCACACGGTTTTTCTAAAAGCGGCACTTGCATTGTCTTAGCTATAGTGCCCCAGTACGTGTGCATGCGTTGTTACCTTGTGCTACAAAGTAACGATGATGAATGTTGGCAGCATAAATCGTTGTGTTGACATTTTCAATTGTTCTTGCGAAATGTGTTAAAGGATGACAAGCAACAATATGGGAAGGCATTTGATGCAGCAGCAGCCGGCGTTGGCGTTGTACAGACGGCCAAGGTTGCCTGTCAGACAGCTGACAATTGTGGCCAGATAAAGGGCTAACCGTGTTAGAGATCTTCCAGTGCCATACCAGAGTCTGATTGGTATGATAATCAGCTGCGATTGGACTCCATTTCCTGTTGCAGTATTCCTGATGCATCATCTCATCAACGCATACTGCTCTATCTCGCCTGACAGACAATACTCGCATTGGGGCGTCGTCGGCGCTACTCACATCATGATCCCGACTGTATAAGTTGTCCATATAAACATTTGTATATTTGTTGATATTTAGCTCGTGCGATACGACAATACCCGGCAGTGTCCGCCATATAGCCGGTATATTATATGGTAATATTCTTTGCTGCGGGTAGCAGCATATGTCGACACGACCCGCACAATGCTGCTCTTCATACCGGCGATTAAATATGGAATATACAGAAGAAGAAGAAAATATATAAATGCTGCAACAACGAACAAAGCATAAAGGCACTGACGGATGGAACATGGTGGCCCTTGTATGCAAGCGGACGCCTTTCCGCCTGCAGCTGAGCGGGAAATCGCCACTGAACCCGGTCGGCACGGAAGAACAGTTTTGTCACAGATAAACCCAAGCAATGAGCGCCACTGCCCGGTGAGAGGTTGCAAAGGAGAGACCAATCCAGATAAATAATAAGCTCCCGATCACAGAATACAACAAAAACCCTGCATCCGTTGCATATGCGGCTGTCTGTAAATCATCCGTAATATGAAAAGTGGAAACATTGTCAGTTAAACAACGTCCGGCGATGATCCACGAGGAAGATGTGCTGTAATATAAATTATTCCAAAAGAAACGGATCATGGCCGCTCGCAACATTCAGCTGGTGAAAATAATTCCCTTTGCCCACGTAACATTATATTTCGGAATAAAATAAAGTAAAAGCTATTGTCGCCGGTTTTAGTGTCTGCTTTAATGAATAAATGCATGTATGATTGCTGGAAACAGCTGCAAAAGCGCGCGCACATATACACAGTGAAGCCGACACTGGTCAAGATACTGGACGAGAAGGATGGGATTGGCAATTTGGCGGTATCAATAAAACCGATACATGGAGAATTTTATTGTATACAGCCGAGCAGCTAACCGTAGAGCGCAGGTATAACGCAAAACCGGTCGCTTTTAGCAGACACACAAGCGCGAAGCTAAAAGAAATGCTAAAGAGAAGATCGTTAAAGATGCTGTAATATGCGATATCCAATAACGCAAAAAGCAATAAAACTTTGCTGCATCGGACCAGCATCCATCTTCACCGGCAGCCAAGATACACCGTGCAACCGGCTAACCAACACGTACCCAAACAGACTAGCTCGTTCCCACGCGCACCCCGCGCAAATCTTTAACTGGCTCTGTGCGAATACATAGAACTATCACATACATATTGCTCTGCATGGCAGGATATACAGATATATCTGTACTACTGGCTCGGCTGTCTACGAAGAAACCAATGGCGGCAAAACGCGTGACAGCATACTACGGCAAGTTAGACGATAAAAGTTGTGCGCACTCGGAACGGCGCATGTATATATATTTATCATATATATACTGTACAATTATACATAGCCGAAAATTTAACTACTGCAAGTTTTACACAAGGAGACGAAGCGGGTGGGAATATCTTTACGCATTTACCCTTTACACCGCATCATCAATACTTAGTGTAATACGTAATACTGGCAAAAGAACGGACTGGCAAATTATTATCACGAAGTGCTCATCTTGTGCGTAAACGATGTAGTACAGATGTGTCTTCTGTACTAAACGCTTATGTATAAGAAAGTATTGTAGACGCGGACTTAGCACGGATCGTTTATTATGCCGTAGCACTACATAATAAATTTAGCAATCCACAAACGATAAATAACTTAGGTCTAGGACAAGCCCAAAGCGGCTGAAAACTAAACCATTTAGTACCTAAAGGAATTTTTTTTCTGCATGCATAAAAGAAACGTTTGGTTTTAGCCGCTGCGTACGCGTGTCAATCACCACTGCCGGTACTCGCCAAATACAGCTTGGTTTGCTTTTGTGACCATTAATATAAAGAATATCTAACCATTGTGCATCAACCAGCATCTATTAAGAATTTAATGATAATGCCGTCTCAGTTTCATGTTTACTTGATGTCAGTTTTGGAATATGTTGTGTTCGTTTAGTTTCTGTATTAGTAGTAAAATGTTTCGACACATTGAACGATCTAACCATGGTATGGATTACTACTGGATCTTATCTACAGTTTGCAACGGGCTGCATGCTGTTAATAAATTACTGGTATGACGTATAGGGACTAAATGGATATGATATTGTAGGCATTTCAAAATAGTATACTTAAGCCATTCTGTGCGTTCTAAATAAACAGAGTGCTCAGTATCGTTATTCGTCAGAACGTCCACAGAATATAGAAGGGACAAGCTAGACGCACATATTGCAGCTAAGTAATTGTTAACATTTGTAATCTGCAGAAGAACAATTTCATATTTATCCGGACACAAAACCTTGAAAACTGCTTAAAAAATTTAGAAGAGCCGAAACTTCCGGTACCGATTCCATTCCCCAAAGAGTACGAAGAGGAAGTTGACGTTCTTCCATATATATGCAAAAAGCTACGAACCGAGAGACATTACTATTGCTCGTATATAAAGTGGGAGGTGTGAATGATCGGATCTCTGCACCAGTTTTACAAACTGCGCGGTTGTGGACCTTCGTTGCGACCCCGGCCTGATTGCTACGACAAAAATATCTTCGGCGTTTAATTTACTCGGCTCGCAGACAGTTGGGAAACAATCTTATTTTACAAGTTAATGTCGCTTCCTGTGAAAGACTGCATTATTCACAAATCGTACCGCTTCTTACATACTGACGAAGCATTATGGTATTCGGGTTTTAGTCGGAGCGTCCACTGCAGCCGCCAAACCCACCCCGATATAAATTTTCACTAAACTCTCCAAGAAAAGAATGGTAAACAATTTGCATACGGCACAGTATACAGCGCCTGCATGCGACCGCAATTTATGACCTAGAAAACATTGGCTAGTACCATTCAGCTCTCATGGCGCACGCGCAACTCAAAACAAACCATCCATAACTGTATTTTAGTTTATCATACGCAGACAATGTATATTTTAAAATAGGTTAAAACTGGGTTGACTACATTTGGGCGTCACTGTTTTACATAATATTACCAGTTGTATGATCACACAACAAGACTGTTGATTATGTTTGCCCGGCTCATGAATCATGATCAACTAGAAGAGACTGCAGTCGATTCATTCAGACTTTTGTAGGTGTCTGAATTCTTGTGTCGGTTATGTGGTTTATTTCATGGTGATATTAAATCAGCATCTATGGTACGAAGTCGTACCGACTCGTACGTAA